AGAGACAGGGCGACGAAGGGACTCGTCTGAATCGCTGGACTGTAGGGCGGCGGCCGCTGGACATTCCTCCAAAGACAGTAGCACCTGTGGGCCGCGGCGGTCGCGGCACCACGAGGCGTGAGGCCTGCCTTGGCCTGCCTGGGCCTGCCTGGGCCTGCCTTGACGCAAGGGAAATGATAAATATGAGAACCGGAGCACCGAGCGCTGAACCCAAAGAATGGAACACATACACACACACATGCGCGCGCACACACTCACACACACACACGCACACAACTACACACACACACACACACACGCATATGCACGGCAGCGTGGTCTGGGAAACGACCAAACTGGTCCAAAAGCGAAAAGTGACAGTCGGGTCCGTTTGAAAGTAAGAACTCCACGGCCGCGGCCACGCAATGCCCGCCGCTCCCGCACCACGACTTCTCGAGTGACTATCCGCGGGAGAGCTCCGGGCCGGCGGCGTAATAAAGTCTACAAGGAATCGGCCGTGCATGCGTTGCAGCTAGGACGCGGTATGATTCCCTGGTATTAGCCCGGGCGGACTCAGGTTGCGCTCATTCGACTGTAGGAAGGGTTGACGCCGCCCAACAGCGACTAAAAGACCCACAATAATTGCACCCCTCGTGCGCAAATGGGTGCTTGTTGGAGGGCGGTCCATAAACCAGCTGGGGGCGGGCGGAGGCCCCGCGAGACAGTCGCCACCACAGCTTGCAGAGTGCGCTCTCGCCGCAAACCCCAGGGTTCCACACTGGAAAAACGTCACTGGAAAGAAGGGAGGGGCTTACCAGGCCCTGCCCCCGACGCGGCGCTCCTCGAGGCCCGGCGTGCGCCGCCAGACGCCGCAGCGCGACAAGCGACAAGGAAGGAAGGTACAGTTACCGCGAGATTTCATTTCATGCTGATTCCCCAACGAGTTCACGGTCAATCTAAACGTGACGCGCCTTTGACGTGCTTGACGCGCCAGCCGCGCAAGCCGCGCCAGCCGGACTGCAGTTGGTCAAAAAGTGGTCGAATCTCGGAAATTTGCTGATTTTGCTGACTTTGGGCGGCCACTGTGTCCAATCTAGTTGCCGTAAAAGGCCTCCCTCGACGTCCTAGTATTCTTAAGACCCTGCTCTGTTATGCCCTGTATCGGGAAGACGTTGACCACAACGATTTTCCCTTATAAAACGGGGAAGGCTCCGAAATGGGTCCGATCGGACGATATCCGAAATTTTCCGGAGGACAGTCCGTCAGTCCCCGCCGGACAGTACCGAAATCTTTCCCGGACTTGCCGGGAATTGGTCGAAAAGTACCACAATCAGAAGGATTTCGGGGAGTCCGACAGGGCTGGTCGGGCTCGTTCCGGGCCGTCCGAGACGAGTCCGGAAAAAAATGAAACTGGCGTCGGCCGTGGTGGGACTACTGTGGCTGGATTCGTTCCCGGGCCCCTCTCCTTTCGACTTTCCTCGCTGCTTGCTGTCGACGTCGCTGACCACTGCGCTAACCTGAAACATGAGGGCCAGGCCCGCAGGCGAGCCTCTTCACCGGCGCGGCGCTCCTTCCTCCTCTCTGTGGCGAGCGCACCGCGCGCTATGCAAGCTACAAGGGTGCGGTTTTCGACGCGCATCTTGTCTGAATCACCTGTACAGCGGGACTCGACATAGCGGCTCACATATTTTAAATTAGATCTGGCAAAATTTGAGCGGCTTTGGTCGTATTACTCACTATGTGAAAAAAATATATATTCATGGAAAATTTCTTTGCTGTCAAGCATCAACAGATTTAGGTCATTACCGTATTGAACGAGTAATATTTTAACATGCCGCCCTGCATGTTACAGTTTGACGCTGCTTATTTTTGCAAAATAGATGTGTGATATAATACAGCGTGCTGTCCGATGACACTGTGTTTTTACCCTTTACCTGTGCATCTGCGCAGGTATGGGCGGGTTAGAGGCGTTCCGCCGGGCCGGGGTAACCCGTCCCCTCGCGCGACCCGGCGGCGGGGGCTTTCCCGCGAGGCAAACAATCCCTTTGGAATTATTCGCTACAAATTCTAGGAATCTGAGGCAAACAAGAGTACGCCTAGCCATGATAGAGAATACCGGTCTACTAGCCGTTATCAGGCATTGCCACATGTTCAAAAGTTCTTACTTGTCCTAACAAGATTGAGTGTATCCCGGCCGGCACTAACCCAAGGCTTTCCGGTGGTCACGCCTGCATCCGGACTGTATCGGACAGACCGTCGGACAGATTCGGACTCTCCGACAGCCTTCGGCAAATAATCGGGCTGTCCGCTTCGCCTGTCCCCGGATTCGGACTCGAAAAGTCGAGTCCCGGACAGAAAAAGGACTGTCCTGGGCCAGTCGGACAGCTTTGGATGCGTCCTCGGCCAGTTTCGGATGATTTCGGTTGTGTAAGGGTTGCCTTTGACCGCAACGATTTTGGGACCAAAGTTGGTCAAAAAGTGGTCGAATCTCGGAAATTTGCTGATTTTGCTGACTTTGGGCGGCCACTGTGTCCAATCTAGTTGCCGTAAAAGGCCTCCCTCGACGTCCTAGTATTCTTAAGACCCTGCTCTGTTATGCCCTGTATCGGGAAGACGTTGACCACAACGATTTTGCCTTTGACCGCAACGATTTTGGGACCAAAGTTGGTCAAAAAGTGGTCGAATCTCGGAAATTTGCTGATTTTGCTGACTTTGGGTGGCCACTGTGTCCAATCTAGTTGCCGTAAAAGGCCTCCCTCGACGTCATAGTATTCTTAAGACCCTGCTCTGTTATGCCCTGTATCGGGAAGACGTTGACCACAACGATTTTGCCTTTGACCGCAACGATTTTGGGACCAAAGTTGGTCAAAAAGTAGTCGAATCTCGGAAATTTGCCGATTTTGCTGACTTTGGGCGGCCACTGTGTCCAATCTAGTTGCCGTAAAAGGCCTCCCTCGACGTCCTAGTATTCTTAAGACCCTACTCTTTCATGCCCTGTATCGGGAAGGCTATTGACCGCCACTAGTTTGGGAGCGGTAGCCTCACAAAGTTGATCATGAAGGGTAAAAACAATGATGATCGGGGGCCTTTTGCGGTCTTATCCGCCGGGGCCTTTTGGGGACCAGTCCGAGCCTGTGGCCCCCTGCCGGTCTTCCGGCCCACTGTGCTCCGCAGGTCGGCTTGATGACGGACAGAGCGGCACCCCGTTCAGTTGGCGGTGCGGGGCGCCAGCCAATCCACACTGCCTGGCGTTTCGGCCGCGCTAACGAGAGCCAATCAGAGGACGCTGCCGCGCTGGCTGCGCTTGCTCGCTGCCGCAGTCCCGTACAGCAACCTGTCCGTCTGCCGAGCGGTGCAGCGGCCTGCAGCCTCCGAGCGAACGCCGCGACAAACTGATTAGTTTGGCAATTAAAATGGCGGCCAGGCCGATGGCAGCCGCGCCGGAACGCTTGTCAACTTTCCAGCCGCGGGGGCACTAGGCCGCGATTTGAAGGTTACGACGCGCTGGTTAAGTGCGCTGCTCTGCCCGCGGAAGGAGCGCGAAAAAAAAAACGGTCCAGCCGGAGTCGAACCCGAGCCAAGTTTGAACCGAAAGAGCGACAAAGAAGTCTGGCGCCGCGGTAAGTCCGTAACGGTCACCCGGCGAAAAAAAGGCGGCTGTTGAAAGTCAATCTGGTTTAAGATGGGGCGCCACCGAGAACACCATTAGCCCCGCAGTCGTGACGCCGCGGCACGGTACCGGCGTGGCATGCCGTGTGCTGGATGACACACTGCAACGAGACCTCGGCGAACCGTCGGATCGACTTACTGCTCTCAACCGCAATGCGACAAATGACATTCGAACAAGCGTGTAACGCGATCCCTGTTCGCATAAATGTGACGCCAAGTACGTTGAATACCTGTGGCTATGGCTTCCAACTGCATCCAGAAACGATTGGAATGCCGAGGTTAATATGCATTATTGACATCTCAAGTGTGTCTCCAGACAACGATGTGTAGCGCCCCAGGCAGCGATGCAAGCATGAAATGGCTCCAAATTCCAAAACACCGTCAACCAATGTCAACAAGAGACACAGCAGAAACAGGCCGCAGTTTTAGAACCGAGAACCTAACCTAACCCCAAAAGGCTTTCCGAAGTTCCCGCCGCCCCCGCGCCGCCATCTTGCCGCAGGCAAGCCGATCAGCTGGCAATCAGATGACAATGAAGGCGCCAAATACTCTGATTGGCCCGCGGGCTGATCGCTCGGCCAACCGGCGCGCGCGGTGACGTCATGGTGCGGCGTTAGCGCCATTTGACTGCCGTCAACAATGGGGCGGCGTGTCACGCTTCGTGTCACGCTTCGTGACACGCTCGGTTTCCCGCGACGGCGACACGACGAATCGGGAAGTGCCCCGAAGTGCCCGGACGTCTTCGGGCGGGTTTCACTCACACACTCACCAGTGTCGCGAGGTGAAACGTATCCTCGGGCGAGAAAAAATCCACAGGGAGGCGGCAGCGGCGAGACGAATGCACAACGACACTTCACACACACAGGCACAAACACGCACAGACCGTGTGTCAGTCACAACACGACAACGCGGGACACACAGACGCCGCCCAAACCAGATCGACCGAATAGGACCGAGTAGCGGTTGGGGCAAGGCGGCACAACGAAGGCGGTGTGTGGAGAAGTAGCGGTTTCCCGGACGCGCGCGGACGGCACTGGAAGCGGCGCGGCGCGAAGAACCTCGCCCTCCAACGGCCGTGGAGGCAGTGCGGGGCCGGGGCCCGGCAGGCAGGACCAACCGGCCGGCCCGGCCGCCGCGCCGCCGGTCCCAGCTGAGCCCCCGACGGGGAGGGGGAGGGGGTGGAACGGTCGCAAGGAGCGCGTCGCAGCGGCCTCTACCGGCGTTCAGTGGAACTGCAGCCTCAGACAACGACTGTTTGGCGCACGGTGAGGTTGGTCGTTTCGTGTCTCTAGGAAAACACGGCGCGGCAACATCTTAAGGGCAGGGGGCGGGGTAATACTAAACAGAAACCATGAAATGACAAACCATTTATTTCCTCGCGATGCTAGTAATTTCTGTACAATAAATAATTAGCGGTCTAACAAATCACACCAAATTTTGGCTCGAGTAAATCACTACGTACAAGTAACATCACAGCTATAGGAGCCTGAGGCTTGTCTTTCGTCCACGACTGTAGATTAAACAGATTCATCCAAACACGTGTAACAAAATATTCTCTCATTCATTTCGGCGTAAGCGTACACTGTAATGAAACCTGGTTGAATACCTCGTCCGTTGTCAAGCAGAAGCAGAGATGAACACGGTCACCACCAAACCGACAAAACTTCAAAGCTTACATGCACGCACAATTTCATCCTCCCATACCCTCTGACAAAAAGCAGTCTCCGCCGTCAATGTTATATATAATCAAAACGACGACAAACCCAGAGTTCTCTACGTGGAGAGGCAGAGTTGCCCCTCTGTACCCTGACAGTCCTTTTCGGTCCTTTTCGGTCCTCTCCGGCCCTTCACAATCGACTCCGACCTTGGAATGTACAATAAATAGCTTGTCTTGATAAATATTTAATACTGTGAAGATCACTGCATTTTCGTCAAGTTCCCCGCAGGGCAAAAACTCTGAAAAACGCACTTATACTGTGAGTGGCATTGACCACCTGGAAGCAGCAAATGGGAAATAACCAAAATTCGGCCTTTAAGAGAGGGGCGAGATTAAAGTCTTTTCATTGAGCCTCGATTCTTCTTGATCCTGATTGGCCTGGTCGACGTGCCGAACGAAGAGAGCCATCCGCGTCTCTCTCGCGCCGCTGCGGGTCGGTACACGAGTGCGACGGAGACGAGACGACGCTTCGGAGCTAGTCCGCCGGGACGCGAAGACGAGCACAATCTCTCACGGCGATCGCCAACGCTCAGTCTCGCTGTACATCCTCTCCACATTGTCCCGCAGCATTTTCTCCTGGTCTGCAACAACCGGCGGGCAAATTAAAACAGAATCGCCACGTGCATCGGGAGGAAAAAAGGAAAGTGCGCGCTCGCGGATCGGCAAACCCATTCGACAAAGTTTGTAAACAAAAGAGAGACTTTGAACAAAGATGGCGCCAACGTCGAAACGGAGCGCCTATTTCCCGCCAAGAAATAATTTCAAAGTTACGGAAAGAAAGAGACGTACCTTGTCGGAGGTTGGCGATGACGCACTGCTTCCTCAGGAACTCGGTGCACAGCTCGCGGCTCAGTCCGAACGCGTGCATGTTGCAGGTGAAGGTGCTGGAAATCGAAAAATAAAAACTTTAGCAAAGTATGTCGACTTTGCAAAAAGAAAAAGGGTTGGCTGCATGTTTTCGCTTCGAATCCAAGACAACCGTCGCTACTCCTCGCGCAAGAGACACTCTGCGAAGCGTTTCTAAGCGTCTCTAGCGCGCGGGGTATACACGGTCCAGACGTCAAATGGCGCTCCGAAATTGCCATGGCGTTCTCACCCCAGCTGTCCGAAGGTGACGTTCTCCTGGTACTCCTGCTCGGCGTCCAGCGCTTCCAGTGCTGGCACGCAGCCGTGCTGCCGCTCGCACTGCAGGGCGTCGAACAGCGCAGCGTTCCAGAACCTCAACGAGTGCCAGATGGGCTGCTCGCGCAGGTACACCGACAGGTACTCTTTGTACGGCTCGCACCCCGGGACGTCCACTGTAAAATAAACAAAATTTGGTACATTTTTGAACGAATTTGTACGTGTCCTCAGGGACAATTTTCAGCACGTAAAATGTATTTGAAAAAAAAAATCGCAAAAAATCCATGCATATTGGAGAAATTTGTGCAGAAAAGGAAGCAGTTACAGCAAATCACACACACCTTCGTGATAGAAGGTGAAGCACATGTTCATGAGGGACTTGGAGGGGCCGAAGTCGTCCGCGTCCGCGCACTCGAACAGCACGATGGCGAAGTGCTGCACCAGGCTGTAGAAGGTGGACTCGCTGACGCGCAGGTTGTGCACCCGCTGCGCGTTCACGAAGCGCGAGAACCACAGCCTGCCCGCCTCGGTCTGCAACGCACAGTTTGTCAAGCACTCTCAGAAAAATATAGATGAAAAAAATTGGACCAGAATTTTGCTTTTTGTCTTAATTTTTGCTGAATTTTCATCAGATCTCTACTGCGAACCTGCGCTAGCTGTCCGAACTTGGCCTTCTGCTCCAGGGAGATGTCCCCCGGGGTGGCGAACAGGTCCGTCACGTACTTGCGCATGAACTCCACGGCGGCGGCCGTCGCCTCGTCGGATTGGCTGTCCAGACTCAGGCTGGACGCCCAGGACCGCACCGAGCCCTCGGAGCCTGCAACCAAGGCATTCAGTCGCCGGTCAGCGAGAGAAATACAATGCGAGTGTAGGAGTGTGTGTGTGTGGGGGGGGGGGGGTAAAAAAGGAGGGGAGGCATCTAGTTACCGTTTGGAAAGAAAGGCTACCTGATCTAACCCAGTACTTGGCGTCGTGATCCGGAGAGTCGATACTGGTGCTCGGGCCGTAACCATCCCCTTCACTGCCAGAGCTGCTGCTCGCCGCTTCTGCAAAACGTAGAAAAAAGGATAGTAAATTACAAGGAAACACGCAAAATACCACTGTAAAAATTAAAAAATTTATGTCAAAATCTTGCAAGGCCCACGTTTAAAAAATTTCAAACAAAACGTAAAAAAAAAATTGCTTGTAAACAAAAACCGGAGTGTTATACGTTAAAAATTATCAAAAATGAGACTTTTGACGTAAATTTGGCTCCGTAGGTGCGGTGGCCCCTCACCCATCTTGTAGTGCAGCTTGTCGTAGGGGTCCGGGCCGCACGCCTCCGGCTGGGCCGGCCTGGCCACGCGGTCGCCGTCGTTGGAGCCGCCGCTGGAGGGGCCGTCCGCGCCCTGGGAGCCCCGGCCGGCCTGGCCGGCCTGGCCGGAGGGGGTCTTCTTGTCGCTGGCGCTGCCGGCGCTCTCATCGCGCGGGCACCTGTGTCGAAAAGTTCAGATGCCGCAGATAAGGACAAAATTTTTAGAAATTTAAAAAAATTAAAAATTGACTATGGATTTTTTTGTGTTTTTTTTTATTATTTTTGGACCAACTGGCACGGGAGCGTCAGTTTGAAAATTAATCTTCAAGTACAGTATTTTGAATTTTAGTCCTTTTTTTTTCTTTTTTTTTTTTTTTTTTGAGTTTCTTGTTCTAAAAACTGACCTGCCGGCTTCGTCCGGGGACTGCAGCGAGGCGGCCGAGGCCGAGTCCTGGCTGAGGGACAGCGCCGTCTCCAGGCGCGACGACAGGTGGGACAGGATCTGGCTGCCCTCCAGGCTCTCCAGCGCCGAGAAAAGCCGCGACTTGAGCAGGCCCAGCTGGCCGTCCACGCTGGAGCCGTTGGGGGCGGCGGGGCCGGGCAGGCGCGGCGGCGCGCGGGGGCCCCGCAGCGCCCCGAGGGGCAGTAGATCCACCATGGCGAGTCCTGCGGCACAAGGCGGCACGATCGAAGGGGTGCTGAGGGGCTGGCCAGCCAGTGGGCCGGCGGGGCGGGGGCAGTGGCAGTGGCGGACCCCACCCCGCCCCCGCCGCTCGCACTGAGGTTGTACACTCGCGAGCGGCGCCAGCGGCTCAACAACAAACAAGCCGCAGTGCAGCTGGCTTCGCTTTGCTTCGCCTCCACTGCCACGGCCATAGACTCACGCTGCGGGTTCGACTCCCGAGATATCGAGGGTCCATGCCTTTCCATGTCAACAGCGCCTACGAAGAATAGGGCATCGCAACGACGAAGAAAAATAAAGCAGCGTGGGATTGCTTTCACGTTAGACGAAAAAAATGCCACTGAAAGACCGCACTGGAGTAAGCTTACCACCACCGTGTCCAAATCGATGTGTGTCCCGAGGAACCGCCCCAGCCCAAGAGGTAAGCAAACATTTCACTACTGCCCCCCCCCCCTTTCCTTTCCCATTCCACCCCGTCTCGCATGCGGCAAGAATGGGGCCCACTGCCCACTGCGGCAGAACCTACACTGTAACCCCCCTCCCCTCCGCCGCGAGGGTTTGAATGAACCAGCAGCGTGGCTTATTTATGCGCCACCGGAAAGGGAGAGAGAAAGAGAGGGAGAGAGAGAGAGAGAGAGAGAGAGAGAGAGAGAGAGAGAGAGAGAGAGAGAGAGAGAGAGAGAGAGAGAGAGAGACCTGGGACGCGGCTCGTCCGCGCGCAAGGTAGCGCGAGGTGGCGGCGCCCGTGGCGCGTAAACCGATACCGCTTTTCAATGTCAGCAGCGAGAAGCAAACACACGGGCCGCGCCGCCACGCTCCGGACGACGCCGGGGCGCTTGAACGCGTCCAATGCCACGCCACGCCCCGCCACGCCCCGCCACGCCGCGCCACGCTACGACGCAGCGTAGCACGGTAGGCCTAGACCTGTTTAGAGAGGTACACAACTCTGGAAACGCTTCGAGCTCATCCCAATAATAGTCGTCGAATGAAACACATTTTCTCAATGACAAAACTTTTGCCTTTGCCAGTGTGGTGTTCAAGTCGACATTTCACACACAGGTGTCCGCTGATGTACCTCGAATGTTCACTCGAGGTGGCAAATGAATCGTTTCAAGTGACGTCGACCTAAGCCGCAGAAGCTGACGGAAGGACTGTAGTTGAGGGGCCTCCTTGGCAGGAAGTCGGAGGGTCGGGAAGCCCTCCGGAAGGGATGGGTCTGGCGGAGCGTCCGGCCTACAGTGCAGGAGCAGGAACACGAAGCACGCGCGAAATGCAGCGAGTGACGTCACTATCGCGTCAGTTGACTTAGGTTGACGTCACTGTCAACCACTGAAAATCTAAGAATGTGACTGCACGCTCGTTTCAGCGACGCGATTCCTGTCACATTTATGTCACATCACGTCTCACGCTAAAACGAATGTGACATGGTGTTCTAACGAACGTGACACGATTCACGTTTACGAAAGTGACGTACAAAGTCCTGAGCCCAGAGAGCTCAGTGTCTTTTGAATGTCGCACCTTCAAAGTCGTTACATTAGTTTCAACTTTGACTTGTCAACTCGGGGAACACTGATCTAAATGTCGTCAACATGACGCAGAAATGACGCCGAAATGACGCAAAGGTGGCGTTTTCTTGTTACCAGGCGCCTCAGCACCGGCTGTCGGGAAACTTACAGACGGCTGCGGCGGCTAGGCGGCTAGGCGGCGAAGGTGGTCAGGGTGTCGGCGGTAAACATCCAGGGCGCGCCTCCCCGCTTGCCATGCCCCGATCAGCTGACGGCGACGCGGGACGCGGCGGACGAGGTGCGCGTCGACAGGTGCTGTCAGGACGACACGCGGGTCGCCGACGACGCCCTCGCTTCCAGGACGGCGACGACGGGGCCGCGGCGCCGCTAGTGCGCGTTATCGGTCTACAGTGTGTCAGTGGGGCGCGGCGCGCGGCGGCGTAGCGTCCTCTCGCGGCGGCGCTCGGTGGCACACTGGCGGGCGGCGCGCGGCGCGGTGTGGAGGGGCGGGGGGCTCGCTGCAGCGCCGCGACGCTATGCAGGCGTCGCAGGGGCGTCGCGACGGAGGGGGGAGGGTGGGGGGCTGCCGTTCGATCAGGGGCTGCGCTACCCCCCGAGATCCCACGCGGCCAGGGGTGGGGGAGCGGCGGCAAGGGGGGGGGGGAGGAGGTTCATCCCCTTAACTCTCGTCCGATTCCAATCTGGCGCCGGAGATGAGGTCCGAATTGTGAGCGGCTGGAGGCTGCTGCTGTGTTAATAGGATTTTTCCAGGCCATACGGCGACGGCCCCCGGGGAGGGGAAAGGGGACGGGGCCTTCGAGGCGTCAGTAAATAACACGGATGATTGGAAAATCATTGCTGTGCGATAAGACATTATTTTGAAAAAAGGATCTTGTGCGACGTTTACCTTGACTATGAAGGTGATGGAGAGTGCGAGAATTAACGTCCAGCTCTAGCCTAGGTTCCAGCAAAGGCCAGGCAAGGCCCCAGCCGTTATTCGAGGTGACCTCGGCGTCTTGGGGTAGGCCTGGCCGTTGCCTGCAGGCGTAGCTCCAAAACTCAGTTGTCATCTGTCAAAAAAATTAATGTAATTTACGCACTGTGCACCCTGCGGGTGCACGTCATAAGCGCTGGCCTCTAAATGCTCCGTTTTGCTACTGCGCGTGATTATTAGGTAATGCCAGAGGGTGAAACAGGTGGAGGGGGTGGGGGGTGGGGGTATTCCGGGTCTCTGCGTCCGCACTGGAGCGGCGAGCGACGGTTCGCGTCGCGTCTGGTACAGCCTTAAAGCCGATAGGCAAAGCGACAAGGCCCTGGGCGGCCGAGGGCCTCGGCGGCGGCCGTTGGGTGCGTCGCAGGGCCACCGAGCCGCCTATCACGCGACGCGACGCGACGCGCAGCCTTGGGCTTCGCCGCGGCTGGAGGAAGCCGCGTTCCCTTTGTCGAGGACACCACAGTGTGGCAGGCCGCACAACACGCGGGCAGGCACACGGACTGCAGGCCGATTCCGAGAGAGTTTTCGTCGCTCTGTCTTTGTCGCACTCATGGGGCGCTGCGTATCGGTGCGAGAGAGACAGAGCGTCTGCTGGCCGCTGCGATGGGCGGGGGGCGGCACTGCTCTAGAATTAGCATACCGTCTCCCCCCCCCCTCCCTCCCCCCTCCCCTAACTCGGCCCGTCGCTCTCACTCACAGAGACCCTCGGTTTTTGCGCGTTCTCCTTTTTTCGCGTGTAGCAGAGCGAGAGTGCTCCGTCCAGCCATCGAGGGGTGGGACGTGGAAACGGCTTGTGTTGACGGCCGCCCGTAACGCCGCCGCTTTTACGCACTCGGGGATCCCGAGAGAGAGCACCGCGAGCACCGCGTGGTCGAGGCGGGCCGCGGCGCCGTCCGTCGGGGCGTGGCGGGGCGGGGCGGGGCGGGGCGGGGCGGGGCGGGGCGGGGCGGGTTGTGGCGGCGCGGCGGTCGGCGAGACGGTGGACCATCCTGGCAGTCGAGGCTCCCCCCGGGTGGCGAGCTCATCCCTGCCGTCGCCGTCCTCGCGGTCCCGGTGCCCGGTCTCTGAAACGCCGGCCGCGGCGCCGCCAGTGCCTCCCCTCGGCGTCGTGCACAGGGCAGCAACGGACATGGCGTGAGCGGAGAGCAGGCAGCCACCCCCGCAGTCCGACAGTCCGACGTCGCCGACGACGCCGACCCCGAGGCCGCGGCCAACATGCAGGTGAGGGAGAGGGCAGCGAACCGCCGCCGGCGTGACAAGGATGGAGGAGTGTGGCTCCGCGACGGGCAGCACCGCGTCCATGACGTCGCCGACGGGCACCGCGAGCACGCCCCCGGGGTGAAACTCAAGCCTGCTGCATCTGCCACCGCGTCTCGCTGCGCCACGCCATCCGGAAGACCGGCAGCTCGGCTGGGGCCGCCGCGGGCCCCCACTGCCAGATGGCGGCCCGCCAACCGCACCGCCGCCCCGGCCAAGCAGTGCCTGGCGGCGCCCGTCGCGCACCCGGAAGGCTCTCACGGCACCGGGACCGCCGCCCAACCTCGGCGAACCAGCCGACCCAACCGACAATCAAAATCAGAAGCAGCACCGGCCGGCCGCGGATCTCGGCCCCCGGAGCCGGCCGGCAGGGCTGGCGGCTGCGTTCGAGGAGGCCGTCGAGGAGGCCGACGACGACGGCGCGCCCCGGGCCCACGCGGACGCGGCCCGCGGCGGCGAGTCCACGGCGGCTATTTTGAACGCCTGCGCTTCCCCCTCCCCCACCCCTCCGACGGGGACACGCCGCCGTGGCGCTAAAGTGGGATCGCCTTCCTGGCAGCGCTAGCAGTGGCGCGCCGCCACCGCCTTCGACAAGCCTGAGTCACAATCATATTTGTAAATGGGTCGGGTCGGTCGCACAACAGGCGGCCGGCTGTCCGGCCCGGCGGGGACTGGGTCACGCCGATGGGTCCCCCTGCTTGGAACTTTCATGCCACTGTATGTGCCATCGAAACCGACACGCTACAACAGAAAAATTAATACCGCCACCGGCTCAGATGAATGGTGTTGTCTGCTGACGTTCGATTAACTTCAATCACTTTTGCCTGCCTCGCAGAACCACGGCGCCGACCGCTGGCGCGCCGGCAGCATGGGGCCCACCACCGGCACGCTGCCCGCCGCCAACACCAAGTTCCGTTCCGCCAGACCGATGCCGGCCTGGGTCGTGAGTATCGTGTGGTCGCCGCATTCGTCGCGGGTTCAAGCCCCGCCGCCGCCTCACCTTTTTCCTTTTTTTTCGTCCGCAGCACCAGCAGCAGCAGGCGCAGGCCCGCCTGCTGAACGCCAGGCTGCCGCCCCACGAGCCGCCGCCGCCGCCCACGTCGGAGCCGCCGCCCCTGGACCCGGACTACGAGGTCATCGAGTTCCCCTCGCAGCAGTACATCAACACGCAGCCCAGCCAGGCCAAGACCAACGGCTCGGGTAAGCTTCGCCCCGCCAAGCCTGCAATGGTAATGGCAATGCTGCCTTCGCCGGCCCGCTGGCGGCGGTGCGCGCCCGGCGGCCTACCCCGCGCGCTGCAGGCGCTATCCCTTATCGCAGCATCGCGCCGTGCCAGGGTGTGCACTGGAAACTTGATGGTGTACCGAGCACGCAAATGGCGCACTGAAGTTAGGTTCCCAGTGTGTCCACGTCAGCCCTCGCCCGGTGCAGCGGCACTGTGGGCGCGTTTTCGGCTTATCATTCGGCCGTGGCGGCAGCGTGGGCGTGGTCGCGGGGCCGACGACCGGTTTCTCTCGCGATAATTTTGGCGACCGGCAAGGAAACCTCTCCCGACCGAAAAAAATCCTTCTCGGCGTGATTTGAACCCGCGTCGTTGCAGCTGGCGGGCGGCGCGGCGACGGCAAGCACTGCGACCTGTGCGGCAGCTCCACCCCCGCCGTGCGCTGCGACCAGTGCGCCTCGCAGATCTTCTGCTACTCGTGCGACGACATGTACCACCGCCACCCCAAGCGGACCACCCACCGGCGGAAGGTAACCAGTGTGTCTCTCTCGCACTCTCGCCCCGCGAGTTTGCAGTGCACTGTCCGGCCGGGTCGCTCCACGTCATCCTCTCTGCTTCCAGCCGCTGCAGCAGGCCGTGCGGCCCCCGCTGCCCCCCAAGGGCGAGGCCCCCGCCGCCCCCGTGCCGCCCCCGCGCAGGAAGGGCCGAAGCTCGCGGATGGGAACCCCCAGCCCCTTAGACGGACAGGTAAAGCAAAGGCACAGTTGCCACGTTTCCTGAGCCGCCCGCCACCCCGTCAGTGTTGCCAACTTACCCAGACGTCGGCCAAGCTGGTCTTGGGGGGCTTTCTGAAAAAGTAAAAAATTGAGTTGGCAACACTGCTCCTCCTGCTAGATGCTTCTCCTGGACTACCTTGCACTGCCGTCGGTGGTTAATTTTTATTTCCATCGACAGATTTTTCATTCAAAATTGAGATTAAGCTTTTAAATTCATAGTCTTTCATTAGTTAGGTGCGTATTTTTTTTTGCGCGAGTACATATCAGATGATAATCGCTATTTTTGTACGCGTTCTTTTGCAGTTTTTATATTTTTAATACAAAGAGTCATACATTTTTGTGTCAAAGAATAATATGTTATAGCGGCGGGCCGATATAGGTTCTAGAGCGAGAATGTTGCGCGTTGTAGTGTATTAAGTGATTTGGTCAGCTGCAAACAAAATACCAAACCTGTTGCAAACCCCTTTTCGAGCTGACCCCGAGGCATTGTGATACGAACATTTCTCATGACGTCTGTGAGCTATTGTAGTTTACTGTGTACAAAGCTGTGATTTTTTTATGCATCCCCAACATTAACAAAAGTGTGCCAAAGTACTCCTTGTCCACCATTGTGATATCTCTGTAACATCTTCTACAGTCTAAATATAGAGAGCTCGTAATCAAGTTGACAGTGTTTTATTTGCTTTGCGTGTGTTCTGGTTTCCTGCGTGCCCTCACTAAATGGCCCCGTGCGGCCCCTAGTTAGTTAATCATGATTGCAAAACCATTTCACTTTATTTAAAAACACATTACAGGAAAACATAAACGAATGCATGACATAGAAAAAATAATCATAAGTTTACATGAAAAGATTTATGTACATACTGAAAACAGAGGTGAAACGCAGAATTTCTGCAACGAAATTTCACCTGACTTTCTGTAAGTAAGTACAACCGCACGAGCTTTTCACAAAGATCATCTTCTCTGCATGAACTCTAACATCATATTTAATCTCTCGAGTCTTCACGCACGAAAAGACAGTCGCATCTAACAAACCTCCCAGATTTCCAGGCAACCTGGCCTCAGCTTGTTCCTGGACATGATACCCGTCTGTCGCAGGTCCAGCCGCCTGCCGGCCGGGGCCTGCTCAACCTCGGCCGGGACAGACTCAACAGCCTGCCCAGGGCGATGGGGGGCCGGCCTCTGCCGCTGCCCCCGTCCGCAGCCGCGGCCTCCAACGGCTCCCAGCCGGCCGGCAGCAAACCCAACAGTAAGAGCAGACCCTTTTGTTTTTGTTGTTAGCGCTCCATGCTAGCAGGCCCCAGCCCCTCCCTCCCTTGCCTCCCCGAGGACTGCATGCCGTCGCGTTTCCGAGGTAAGCACTTCGTAACACAGCGAGGCTCTTGCCTGCATTTTATACGAATTCAAAATCAGATCGGTACTTTGCATCAGACCCAAAGTTCCGCAACAAACGTGACCGGATACCTTTTCATGGCGTTCGCAAGGCGATAACAAACTTTAATTTTCTTGAAAAAGTTCCTTCGACGCCAAGTTTTGAAAACCTCGGCTGCTCTAACATTCTGATCAACTTCACGCCCGCACCATCCCGACGCGAACAACCCGAAATGACTGCGCAGCGAAACAGAGAAATGCTTTGCGTTCCAGGTCGAGACGATTGGAGCCCGTTGGATGCCAGAGTCCGCGCACACCAAATCGCCATGGGCAGAGCGTCGCCCAGCTTGTCCGGCCACTTCGTAAGTAGAGCCGCCAATTCAAACTTCAGCCGGGGCAAGATATTTGAAAGACGCGACATAACAGACGTTCCCTTGCAGCCCTCAAGCAGAGACAGCGGCTACCCGGACTGGGACTCGGAGCAGCAGCAGGGCTGGTCCAGGCAGAGGTCCAGCAGCATTTCGGGCTCGGACGGGTACCGGTCCGGCTCGGGGCTGGCACCGGGCCGGTTCACTGACGGCATGGCCGGGGGGCTAGCCACCATGCGGCGCGGCGCCACGCCGCAGCGCGGCATCGGCATCATGTCCTCCGCGTCCGTGTCCAACCTGCACCAGCAGCACGCCATGCAGCAGCAGCCGCCCTTCGGCATGATGCAGGTAGGCGGGCCTCGGCCTCAGCAGCGAAAGTCGACGGGGTTGCCTGCCTCGGCCCTAAAACGGCCTCTGCCCGCAGGCGCAGTCCATGGCGCACCTGGGCGGCTGCCCCAGCTGCGCGTGCCACCCCGGCGGCCCCGGCGCCCCGCCCGGCATGGTGTGGATGGACGGCATGGGGACGCCGATGGGGGCCCCGATGGGGGCGTGGGACGGCGGCACGCTGCACCGCCACAACTCCATGGGCATGCTGCCGGTGTGGGGCGCGCCGGGGATGCCGCCGGCCATGCCGCCCCCGGGGCCGTGGCCGGGCGGCGCGGCCCCCGGCTACCCCTACCCCTACCCCATGGCCTCGCCGGCCATGTCCCGGCGCGCGTCCTCGCCCGCCGCGCCGCGCCGCGCGTCATCCTCGCGGCCCGTCTCGCCCGCGCAGTCCGTCAAGTCCAGGCTGAGCGTGCGGTCGCGCACCCGCCACGCGCCCGAGCCCGTGCGCGCGCCCACGCCCATCTCCGTCACGGACTCGGACGAGGAGGACGCCGACGAGGACGTGGACGAGGAGGCCGACGACGTGGACGACGCGGAGCACGAGCGCGCGCAGGCGCCGGCCGCCGCGCCCCCCGCGGGCTTGCCCAAGACGCAGTGGGAGTGCGAGCACTGCACCTTCATCAACAAGCCCGGCACCAGGATATGCACGGTGTGCTGCAAGACCTCGGACAACCCGCGGCCCGCCGGCCCTGCCCAGCCCCAGGGCCCCGCCATGCAACGCCGCCTCAGCCAGTCGTCCGCGGACCGCGTGGCGCCCGCCAGGACGGCCGCGGCGCGCCGCAACTCGCTGTCCGAGCGCGCGGCCGCGCCCAAGACGCCGCCACAGCAGCAGGCCCAGGCGGCCCAGGCGGCCCAGGCGGCGCAGGCGGCCCAGGTGGCTCGGCAGCGCGCGCAGCTGCAGGCTCAGCTGCAGAGGCGGCCGCAGCACGCCAAGGGGCGGCCCGGCGTGGGGGGCGGCAGCACGGCCGCCACCACCACCTCGGACTACAGCGACGTGGACCCCGACACCAAGGCCAAGTCCGCGGCCACCTCGGCCAGGAAGAAAGGTAGGCTGCGAAAGATCACCTTCTGGCCGGGCACTAAGTTCTCGCTGAGCTGAGGGAAGGGATAAAGCTTTCTTGTGATTTTACGGTGGCGGTCGCGGCGGCGAGGCGGTGAGGAGGCAATCAATCAATAAATGATGAGCATTTGGAAGCTTCCGAAGCTCCAATACGCAACTTTTACTTCTTATCCCCCCGCTGCTGCTCGTTCCGACCGCACCACTGTCTTTTTATCTTTTTATAATCCGTACATAGAGAACCTATGCTTTGGACTTTGAATAATAAAAATAACTCACTCGGCGTTTGTATCGAATTTGATGTTGTTCTTCCCTGAAACCCCTAATCACTGTCTCCCGTGTTGTAGGGATGAAAACAGAAGCTCTGCCGAAGCCGGCGAGAAATCAAATACAGCAAGAGGAGGAGGATGACGATGAGGAGGAGGAGGAGGAGGACGTAGAGGAAGCGCAGGAGGAGGTAGAGGATGACGAGGACGAGGAGGTGGACGAGGAGGCGGAGGGCGAATCGGCGCAAGAGGAGTCCGTTGAAGACGAGGAGGAGGAGGTGGAGGAGGAGGTGGCGCCTCAGAAGCGCCGCGCCCACTCCAAGCAACTGCAGCAGCAGCAACTGATGCAGCAACAACTGCAGCAGCAGCCCAAGAACGCCAAGGCCATGAAGCAGGCCCAGAACAAGGGCATCCAGAAGACCGCCGCGGCCGCCAAGCCCCTGGCCACCAAGGCGTCGGCGGCCCAGCAGACCACCGCGAGCACGGCGTCGAAGCCGGCACAGGCGCCTGCAGCAGCGCCCGCGCCCGCCAAGCAGACCAACAAGGCCCCCAAGGTGTCGACCGGCGTGGGGCCGTCGCCGCCGCGCGACATTCCGGACAAGGACCACAACCAGGGCAGGGAGGCCGCGCCGGCCAGTCAGAAGAAGGGCACCAAGATGATGACGTCCAAGGGGACCTCGCCGCCGCCTCAGAACATGTCCACCCAGGTGAGTCCTCGGCCCCTCTGCCTCCACGCCTTCCGCAGTGCAGGATACCTGTGGGGCGAGGGAACCTCTCGACGCCCCGCCCAACCGGAGCGGTCAGATATTGGTTGCATGTCATGCGAACCGAAATTTAATTGTTCCATTGCATCCCAATACTGTATTTTCTACTTTAATGCTCGGTCTTGGTCTTGGAATTTGGGATAGAAGTGCATCCACCCCTCCAGGCATCCAGCACTACGTCGAACACTTGGCCAACTTCTCGCACTATGCGGCGCATAGATTTAATAATTCCACTTTCCGGCAATCGCACTTGAGTTCTCTCCACCGCAAGTCCCCCCCCCTCCAGTTTTTCATACATGTCGTGCCGTTGTCTGACCCCCCACCCCTCTCGGCGGTGTACATCGAGGGTAAGTCCGTGCCGCTGTGCAGACGTACGAGGCCCTGGCGGCCCCCGGCTCCGTGTCCTCGGACCACGACCTCGGTGACGACGAGGTGGTGCCGCGGACGTCGCCGCGGCCGCGCGCCGCCTCGCGGCAGTCGTACGCGAGCAGCGGGGCGGGCGGCGCGGCGAGCAGGCCGCGCAGGGAGTTGCGGCGCGACCCGCGGCGCCTCCGCAGGGCGCAGTCCGTGGGGCTGGCCGACGACATCCACTGGGCGCAGCTGCAGCGCTCCCTCTCCAGGCAGTCCCTCAACAGCGACTCGCAGGTAAGCCGCACAGTGGATTTGCCAGAAGGCCGGTGGAGGCGGCCGAAACGCCAAACGCGTTTTGAGCTCCAGAGTCGCTTAACAGGGCCCGAACCGTATGTGTGAGCCCACCAATGGATTCCTCGTTCGGAGAGCAATCCATTGGTGGGGTCACACGCTCGGTTCGAGTCCCATTTAGCGACTCTGGAGCTCCCGGAATTTGCGACTTCGTCCGCTTCACTGTGTGCGCCGCTGCGTTCCCTGACGCTTGGCCTGTCGCTTCAACTCGCCTGGCGCTGAACAAAAACGGTACTACACTTGTGTGCTTGCTACCCGCTTCCATCGCACGGTTTGCCCTCTGTGTGCTGCATGTGCGTTGCCGTGCTGAGGCCCGGCCGAGGCCCTGACGGCGCTCCGTCTGTCCGCAGAGCCTGCCGATGTCGCCGCGAGAGCTGAGCCCGGCGCGCAGCTACGCGGGCGGCCTGAGCAACCGCTTCCTGGAGGACGACATGCCCGACGTGGCGTACCCCGTGCGGCCCGGCCGAGGCCTGCAGCGCTGGGACCGGCGGCCCTCCGCCTCGGACTACAGCACCACCTCCACGTTCCAGAGGGTCTCTATTCTTTTCCCCTTCTCCGCCGTCGCTCTGTCTCTTTCGCACTCATGGGGCTCCCCATAAGGGTGCGAGGGAGACAGAACGACAAACCGCTCTTCTTCTGAATCGCTCCTGTCGAACCGCCCACCACACGCATGACAATGGTCGTGTTTTGCAAAGGACCGACTTGAAAACCGTTCCCTCACCTTCCAGCCGCTGGAGCGCGCGCTGGAGCGTAGCAGACGCAGCATGAGCCGCGCGGGGTCGCAGCCGCCGGACTACTTCCACACCATCGAGGACATGATGCACATGCAGACGCGGGCCGAGTCCATGAAGACGCAGGGCCTGGAGCTGGTGCGGCTGCTCAGGGTGCGTCCAGTCACATGCACTGTAAACCCCACACTGCAAAATTTAATGTTGTAAATTTTTTTCGGCGTGTTGTTTTGCTTTTAGGAGGCCGAGGTCCTGGGCTTCACCGCCGAGGACCTGCAGGCGGCGCTGGCGCACTGCGGGGACAGGCCGCCCATCGCGTGGCTGCAGGAGAACTGGCGCAACATGATGGACACGGTGGTGACGCTGGCCACCAACTACGGGCACGAGCGGCGCGAGAACACCGTGGGCACCATCTCGGTGGACGAGGCCCGCGACGCCCTGCGCGCGCACAAGGGCAACGTGTGGTCCGCCGTCACCGAGTGCGTGGAGCAGCGCCAGAAGAAGGTGGGTCGCGCGTTGGAAATTGTTTGCAGTGTACCCCACCGAAAAGTCTGTCTCTTACGTGGTGGTTGAACTGTTGCGCAGTACGCGGAGCTCCTCTCGCGGGGCAACTTCACGCGCGAGGACATCGTGACCTCCCTGACGGCCAACCACGGCAACCTGGAGGCGGCCTACGTGGAGCTGAGCCGCACGCAGCTCAAGCCCTTCCTGATGCGCATCTGGGGCCCGCCGTCCGTGGGCACGGACAACGAGGCCGGCAACATGGCGGTGGTGGGCGCGGAGGACGGCGTCGAGGCCGCGAGGCACGGCGCCGAGGCCGCCGCCAGCCGCAAGAGCAGCCTTCTGTCCGCGCCGCACGACGGCGACGAAGGTGAGGGCGAGTCTCGGGGGAAATCAAGAAAGACTTGGACTGTATTCGTTATCGCCTTGATTCTCGCGTTGCAGACGACAGCGCGGCCGACTTTGTGGACGCTCGTTCCGACGTGGAGCTTGACGCTGCGGTAAGTCCGCGGCCGGAGATGGCCGACGCCACCTCGGCCCCACCAGTGCAGCAGAAGGCAGTGCAGCAGGTGCAGCAGGAGCAACGGACTCAGGCGGAGCAGCCGGCCAAGCCCCAGGCCGAACCGCCGCAGCAGAAAGGGGCGGCAAAAGCCAAAGCAGACAAGGCGCCTCAAACCCAAGCCAAAGTTCCAACGACAAAACAGGCGAAGCCGACGGAGAAAACGAAACCCCCGCAGGCCGTACGACCCCCACAACAAGTGCAGTCCGCACAGTTAGTGCAGCGGATACAGATGGTCCAAGCTCCGCAGCAGGTGCAACCTCCCAAGCAGGTCCAAAAGCAGGTGCCTCCACAGCAGGTACAGCCTCCACTACAAGTACTACCTCCACAACAAGTACCACCTCCACAGCAGGTACAGCCCCAACAAGTGCAACCTCAACAGCAGGTACAGCCCCCACAACAAGTGCAACCTCCACAGCAAGTACAGCCCTCACAACAAGAGCAACCCCCAGAGCAGGTACAGCCCCCACAACAGGTACTGCCTCCACAGCCGGTACAACCCCCACAGCCTCCTCAGCAGGTACATCCTCCACAGCCTCCACAGCAGGTACAGCCCGCGCCACAAGTGCCAGGCACGCAGCCCTTCTCGCTGGGCGGCCTGGTGATGAACGCCGCGGCCAGCGCCGCAGCCCTGACCCTGGCGGGGGTGGCCGCGGACCCCGTCGAGTCCGCCGCGGGGCCGAGCGTGGGGCAGGGCAACGACGGCCACCTGGACCAGACCATCGACCGCCTGGAGAAGGAGATCTCGCAGCTCAAGCTGCTCACTGGTCAGACGGCCGGCCCGGAGAACAACATCGAGAGCCTCATCGAGAGGGTGAAGGAGGTGCGTCGGAGTCAGAGTGAGGTTGGCGGCGGCGGCCAGGAGGCGACGCCAGCCGCGGAGCCCGGCGCCAAGGACGCGGCCCAGGACGGCGTCAAGGAGGCAAACGACAACGACAAGGGCACGACGACCGTGGCGGTGCACGCCAAGCTGCACATCGACCAGGCCGGCGTGGCCACGCCGAAGCTGGAGCGGCGTCCCAGCCGCCGCGAGCACCGCAAGAAGGACCGCAAGAGCCACATCTCGGTGCAGGAGGCCAAGGGCCCGCAGATCACGCTGGCCAAGGAGAAGCAGGACGAGAAGAAGGAGGCCGACGCGGTGGTCCCGCCGGTGGCGCCGCCGAGACGCCCCGAGCGCCACGAGCGGAGGCTGGTGGCGGCGGCGGCCCCCGCCGTGCTGCGGCCCGTCGTGAGCCGCATCCCCATGCCGGTGCGCGCCGTGCTGGGCGTCGTGGAGGAGGCGCCGCACGCCCAGGACCTGCTGCACGGCGTCCCGGAGAGCGAGAAGCAGGCCCTCAGCCTGTACGCCAAGCGCATCCAGAACGCCATCGCCGCTGAGAAGGCGCGGCCCGAGCCCGAGCCCGCCGACGAGGACAGCGACGACGACGACGCCGACAGCCTGGAGAACAACGCCAGCACCAGGGAGGACCTGGTGCGCCAGGACACCGTCGTAGAGGTGAAGCGGCCGGCCAGGGCGCCGCAGCCCGACGCGGCCAATGCCAAGGACGCCAAGGACGCCAAGGAAGGACCGCGCGGAATGCAGCAGCAGCTGGAGCTGTTCAAGCAGAAGCGGCTGCAGCAGCAGCAACACAAGGACGCCGTCAAGAGGCAGCAGTCGGAAGAAAAGCCCAAGCCGCAGTCAAAGCAGTCCCCAAAGCAGCAACAGCCCAAGCCAGCAGAACAGCCGAAGCAGCCGCCTAAGCCACAGGAGCAACCAAGGCAGCAACAGGTCAAACCACAAGAGCAACCTAAACAGCAACAGGCCAAACCACAGGAGCAACCAAGACAGCAACAGGCCAAACCACAGGAGCAACCAAGACAGCAACAGGCCAAACCACAGGAGCAACCAAGACAGCAACACGTCAAACCACAGGAGAAGCCTGACCAGCACCGAGCTAAGCCTCCCGAGCTGCCCAAGCAGCCGCTAACTAAACTACAAGAACAGCCGAAACAAGCAGTCACTAAACCAGCGCAACAGACGAAGCAGCGGCAGCAGACTAAACAAGAAGATCTGACAAAGCAAACTCACGCAAAACAAGAGCCCCCAAAGCAGCAACAGGTTAAACAAGAGCAGCCGGCCAAACCGCTAGATCGGCTAAAACAACAGGCAGTGCAAAAGCCTCCATCCAAACTGCCGCAACCCACCCAGTCGAAAGTGCAGCAACAGCAGCCTCCATCTAAACAACAACAAACGGTGCAGCAGCCGCCAGTGGTCGCGAAGCCGGCCGCACCGCAGATCGTCCTGGACGAGGAGGACTCCGACGAGTACGAGACGGAGGAGGAGTACGAGGACGGCGACGAGGAGCCTCGCGACAACAAGCTGGCCGAGGCGGACGTCGACGTGGACGACGAGGAGTACGAGGACGAGGAGGAGGCGGACGAAGAGGAAGAAGCGGAGGAGGAAGAGGTGGAGGAAGAGGTGGAGGACGAAGAGGAGGTGGACGAGGACGTTGAGGAGGACGACGAGTCCGATGACGACGAGCTGAAGACGGCCTGGGACGGCATCGAAGTAGAAGTCAAAGAAAAGGACATTGTGATAGAGAAGGAGAAGGACAATGCAAAGGATAATTTGAGAGAAAAGGGGAAGGACAGTGAAAAGGAAAAAGAGAAAGACGACGAGAAGGAGAAGGACAAGGAGAAGTCGGCCAGCACGGCCACGGTGGAGATCGTGCCCATCATCAAGGAGCGCGTCGTCCTGCAGCCCGCCGCGGAGCTCCCCAAGGAAGTCAAGGAGCGCCTGGAGAGGGAGGTAAGGACCCCGCCGGGCACTGGAAAAAAAAACCTCTTGAAATCGATTGTGTTGTTTCTGCCTGCCATCCGCCAAATCCGCCTGAGGCCTGCCCCGCCTGCCTGCCTGCCTGTATCCAAGGATTTTGCATTTGTTTCCGTTAGAGCCACGGCGTAGCGTAGAGAAAACAGTTAGACCAGCATGCCGACGGCGATTTTCCCAGTGGCTTGAACTGCGCTGTACTTTGCAAAAACGACCTGCCTCGAGCTGCCTGGTTCTGTTTCCCTTTCGTTGCGTACATGTTTCGGGGTTTTTAGCTAGATGGTATGCCAGACAGCTTTGAAGAAAAGGCGCAAAAGTTCGCTTCCCTTTCAACTGGCTAACCAGTGGATCTCGCACACGTTGCAAAATGAAGTAAACTGACGGTTTGTTCGCAGAGGGAGGCGCGCCGCTTCCTGGCCGAGGGCCTCGTCACGTCGTACGACGAGGCCGAGCTGGCCGCGCAGCTGCTGCAGCTGGACTTCAGCCGGGAGGACGCGCTGAGCGCCGCCACCGAGTGCACCACGCTGCAGCAGGCCCTGGCCTTCCTGCAGCAGGAGTGCGAGCTCTGCACCGGCAAATACCCCATGAAGCAGGTACCTCCACTACCCCACAGCCAACGCTGGTGGACGTAGTGAAAAAGAGAAAAGTCTCAGTGTTCGAACCCGCAACCTGTCCCGCAGATGGTGTCCATGCTCAAGTGCGTGCACCGCTGCTGCCGCGACTGCGCCAAGAACTACTTCACGATCCAGGTGACGGACCGCACCATCGCGGACGCCAACTGCCCGTTCTGCAAGGAGCCCAACCTGGACGGCCAGGCCTCCGACGACGACGTGCTCGAGTACTTCAGGTGAGCTGCCGCCTGGCGCCTGGCGACTGGGTTCCCTGCAGTGTGCCGGCTGACGCCTTGGCTGACGCCCTGCTTGCGTCCACAGCAACCTGGACATCATGCTCAAGACGATCCTGGACGCGCCCGTGCACGAGCTGTTCCAGCGGAAGCTGCGCGACCGCACCCTCATCATGGACCCCAACTTCCGGTGGTGCGTCAAGGTGAGACCAATCCGAGAATCCGCGTGTAAACGCCAAATGCGCTTTGAAAAATACCAAGTGTGCTTTAAAAATCCCTCCGCAGTGTGACTCCGGCTTCATCGCGAACCCCCGGCAGAGGCGCCTGGTGTGCCCCGACTGCAGGTCCGTGACCTGCGCCTCCTGCCGAAGGACGGTAAGAACCACAACGTCTGCGGAAACACTGCAACCACGCGGTTGACGGGAGACTCACATGCGCCCCCCCCCCCACACTATAAATCCGTTGCACGCATTTGCAGTGGGAGAAGCAGCACGAAAACATTTCCTGCGAGAAGTTCGCCGAGTGGAAGGAGAAGAACGACCCCGAGACGCAGGCCGCCGGCCTGGCTAAGCACCTGGCCGAGCACGGCATCACCTGCCCCAAGTGCCAGACCAAGTTCTCCCTGTCCAGGTACCGTAACGTGTGACCCCACCAATGGATTGCTCTCCGAACGAGGAGTCCATTGGTGGGGTCACACGTTCAGTTCGAGCCCCATTTAGCGACTCTGGAGCTCAAAACGCGTCTGGAGTTTTGGCCGCCTCCTCCGGTTTTCTGGCCCACTGTGGACCTAACGACTCCTCTTGGTTGTGCGCGGCGCAGGGGCGGGTGCATGCACTGCACGTGCTCGCAGTGCAAGCACGAGTTCTGCTCGGGCTGCGCCAAGCCCTTCACGATGGGCGCCAAGTGCGGGCAGACGCCGTACTGCGCCAAGCTGGGCCTGCACGCCCACCACCCCAGGAACTGCCTCTTCTACCTCCGCGACAAGGAGCCCGTCCAGCTCAAGCAGCTGCTCAAGGTTCGAACACGGCGGCGGAAAGGAAATTACTGTCCTAACAATGCACGACGTGTAACGAACGCACTCTGGTCACCAGGATCACGGCGTCGAGTTCAACGAGGAGCTGCCGGCGTGGATGGTGGCGGGCACCGAGGCGCCCGACAAGAAGGCGGAGGCCGGGAAGGAGGCCCAGGTCGCCGGCGACGCCCAGGCGGCCGAGGTCAAGGTCAACGGTAACGCCGAGGCCAACGTCGACGCCGAGACCAAGGTGGAGGGGAGCGCGGCACCCGCCAAGCCCGCCGCCAAGCCCATGAAGTGCCCCATGCAGCTGCAGAGAGAGACGCCGGAGGGCCTCATCGACGCGGTGTGCGGGGTGGAGGCGCCACCGGGGCACGCCGGACTGTGCAGGTGCGTTCCAATTTGGCCAGAAAGCCGCTCCGGTGGTGAAATTTCGTGGGATTGGGGGACAGGCTACTCAGGGCAAAAGCGGGTCGCCTGTCCCCAGCTCGTCAGGCGGACGCCTGCGGGGTAGAGAATCCACTCCCATCGACGCACAGCGCGCAAGCGGGTTGCCTATCCCCAGCTCGTAAGGCGCTCTCGTGGGAGGTTTCCATTTTGCTGCTCATCGGGTAATCAACCAAGCGCAAGTTTCTCCTGAACCAACGACCACAGACCAATTTCATGATAAGTCCCGCTACATTTTCATCCCCTGCCCCTCATCAGGCCAAAAAGAAGAAGCGAAAACACAATATGCTTCCCCCTCGCACTCGAGCTCCGGCGCTTAGTGCTTATCGCAGCCGAAATTAACAGCCAGTTAGGTGACTTAATCTCTGCCTACGCCTCTGACTAGCCGAGGCCCGCCTGCCTGTGGCTGCGCCTCTGACTAACAGTAGCCTGCTTGTTTGTTGGCAGGTCGCACTATATCGAGTTGTTAGCTAGGGAGGTCCGCCGCCTCGCGCTGGACACGCTGGGCATCCTGACGGCCGACGACCTGGAGACGGTGGTCCGCCGCTCGGACAAGCGGCTGCCCCCGAACCCCTACGGCACTCCCCCCTCGGCCTACCGACAGGCCCTCGCGCAGGTAAACACACTCCGGCCCGAAAGCAACAACGCTCGCCTAACTCCCCGTGCTCACTGACAATTTTAACTCTCCCGCACTCGCATGCCACCGAGATGCAAGTTTGTCGTTGAGCTTTCCCTCTGTCGTCGCCGATGAGCAGCAAAATGGAAACTCCGCCGAGGCGCCGAGGTTTTGGAGGGAAGTACCCGTGTGGCCCCGCCAGCCAACGCGCCACGCTCTGCTCACAGGCAGCACTACGTCGAGTACCTCGTGGCGCTGATCGGGCGCCACCGGCTGGACCCCGTCGTCCTGTTCGACCTCGGGGAGGCCGTCCTGGAGCTCACCAGGCGGGGCATGCCGCCGCCCGAGCGCCAGCCGGGCATGTCGGACGAGGACTTCCGGATCGTCTGCGTCAAGGTAAAGCCTGCTCCGCAAACCTCCGCCACACTGCCACACTCGCGTGCCTCATCTTTCGCTCAGGAGGCGGAGCACCTTCTGCTGTACTCGCATGCTGTTTTGGTGACTCTTATTAACGTTATCCCCCCCCCCCCCATAATGTCTCAATATCTGCCCCGAGGGCCATCACACTGAAGCTTCATGCAATTTTCCCCTTGTTTCTGCCGATAACATTTTCTGCTTTCTGTTGCAGGTGGTTGAGGAGCAGATTCCATTGGACTGAAACGTTTTTGTTTGTTGTATCTATTTTGTTTTCCTTTATTTAAGGTGGTTTTTTGTACACATGTATTATTTGTGCGTTTGTAAAATTCTTGTTTTTTGATTAGTATTTATTTCTTAGAAAAGATAATAATTCACTGAGTGGTTTTTTTTTAATTTGCACCCCAAACACTGAAATGGTAATCGTAAGTAATAATATTAGAACAAAATTTATTGATAGACATCACACTATAAATTGTTACAGAAATATACATAAATTATTAGGATAAGAGTCTATACACAATGATAAACAGTCTTAATTTTTTACACGTTAGGAATGCTCCAATGTTGCAACTGAAAATTGATATAAAAATGTCTTTCTCTATGATGAGTAATATATTAAAAAGGAAAAGTTACATGCTACAGTGCATTGTTTTCGAAGATTAGGACAAAATTCCAGTCAACAATTAAGTTCGGCTCAAAATGATTGATCTGCAAGACTGTCATTTAGCCTATCATTATTAAATCTAGATGGTGGAGGCCTTGCTGAGTTCAGAGGTTCAATCAATGCTCTCACTGTAATTAAGACAGCCCAGAATATGATTGCTGAAAACAACACCAGAAGGGGAGGGGCTCTACAGATCAATGCCACAATATACAGAACAGCAAGCATAGCTAGGTTTCGGTGGCGAGCAAGAGGCCGCAAACTAAGGCGGGGAGGGAGAGATGATCCGACTCTCGGAGAAAAGCTTCCAGGCGATCTCTTATCATACCGCCACACAGTCATGGGGGCTGATAACAGTTGGCGAGCCACCCGACCCCAGACACCATCACTATGATAGAGGCGGGCCATTTCACTGCAGTACTGCAACAAAAATCACTCATATATGAGAAACTATTTTACTATTTATATAAAACAAATTTCATAAGTAAAATGAGAGGAAATCTCACCATTTCATTTAATCTAGATGCTACTTGATGCAGTAATCTTACAAGGAATTCACTTTCATCACTTCGAATTGGTAGGACATCTGGGTCACCATCGTACTGAATGTTTAAACTTCGTTGCCTCCACTGCTGTGGCGTTGAATTTAAAGCCTCTCCAGCTAAAGATGAGATGCTCATCTGCTAAAAAAACACATCCATTGTAAAGACATAAAAAAAAATCATCATGATAAATACATAACAAAACTGCACTGACTTACCTGATTTTGAGTGCCCCTAAATGTAACTGATCTACTGGTAGTTGGAGTGCCATAATCAGTGACATCCGAGGTGGCGTGATTGTCTGACTGATTACTCATTGAGAAACTATTTATAGAGAGTTCATTTCCACTGACCTGAAAATATGTTTATACTTTAGTTTATACTCATACTACATTATCACAGAAAAAAATTGGAATAGTACAAACCTTGAAAATTTCTGAAAACTGGGCGATTGCTGTATTAAGGTAAGTTAAGACTTTAAGACGTTCTTCGGGTGAATACTCGTCACTTGATCCGGTATCAGATAGGAGAAAAATGTCTTTTATGGCAGAGAGGAAAGATCTAGATCGGGAGCGCAAAGCTGCTTCCTCCTCCAGTGCCTTTTGGGTAGCTACTGCAGATCCTTGTGCTTGGTGCACAATCATCATCAGACCAACAACCTGAAGCAAAAAAACAACAATGTTTGAACTCATAGCAAACAACAGTACAACTTGAATTCAAAGAAACAGTACCTGAGATCGCACTTCCACACCAAACATCGGCTTATACTGAAACCCAGGTGACTCAAGATCTTGGATTTGCTGTCGCACAATAGCACTCCATTTAGTGGCTTGGTGGGCGGCTAAGCAAGATCTTTGATCTGAACTTGGGTGAAGTGAATCTGTAGGAAATGCTGACCTCTTCTGGTGATTAACAGTACCCAACAAATCATCCAAACAGCTCTCAACTTCCTGCAACAATTCTGCCAGCTGGGGTTGGGAGAAAACCTGCATACGAACAATAGCATTAGTTTTCAGCAACTTTCATCTTTAGAAGTTAGCACAAAAGTGGGAGCATACTTTAGAGACTCTGAATAGCATGTTGGCATTCTTTGGAGTGGAGAGATCAAGACGTGCGAAGCGGGGTATCATTTCTTGAAAGATTACTGTGTAGCTAAGTAAGTTTTCAGCGATGAATGGTAACCACCTTCGATCAACATCACGTCTTTCATAGCCGTTTCTTCCATTTCGTGATTCCAATTCCTCTGCTTCCGCTGCAGAACTCCTCCCAGCAGCTAAGCTAGAATGAAATGGCAATTAAATTCACAACATGGTCCAAAAATGGAAAACAGTACAACAACATTCTCTACGAGTATTCCATTTTGTCAAGAGAGAAAGAAGGTGACTTATTTACTTTTTCTGGTAACGATGATCTGTGTATCTCCAAGGCTGGATGTAACTGAGCCAGGTTTCTAAGATAAACCGGAATGAACTATCAAGTGGCCAGTGGTGAATTGTTCGCCTCAAAAATCCATATATTTTTGCTTGACTTGATGGACCAATAATCCTAAACAGAAATAAACAAAGATTTTTGTTTTTAGAAAAAACACTGAAAAACAGATAAAATTAAATTTTAGTTACTTGAAATGTAGATTACCTTCTTAACTCATCCATAGCACTTTGATCTCCTATGACACTGTTTGAAAAGTAGTGCAAGTGCTTTATTAAGTTACGGACAACTCGAATATGTTCTCCACTGGGAAGTAATTCCTGCAAAATGAAAATGATTCTCCAGTAAATATGGGAATAAGATGTCAAATAGCAATTTCAGTTAAAGATGCATATTTTTGGGTTAATATGCAAGCTGTCACTTCTAGTCAAACTTCCAAAGCATAAGAATGCCACAAGTACAAGGTAGACAACAGGGCACAATGCACTATAGGTACATATTAAGTATTCAGTATCTCACATGGGGGTGTGGAAAAGGGACGGGGTAGGAGGTGTGCTGGTGAAGGAAAAGCAAGGGTCGGGGGAATGTAAGGAATGCTGAAACCTGAAAACATTAATTCTAATTACGACCACCACATACATTAGAGAAATCGCATACGCAATATAATTGTAAGAAACACATGGATAGGGTTTGATGCTAAACTTCTCTGCAGGTTATTTACTTAGGCAATAAGTTTAGGAGAAGGGAGGAGATAAAATTGTACCTCAGTCTGTTATAATGAAGGAGAAACATGGTAAGACAAAAAGCTGTTAACAAAAATAAAGACCAAATATACATTTATATTATAAAGTTTAAATAAATAATTTGCCAGAAAGTGCTGTGAGAAAGCTACACAAAACTTAAGGTTACAAAAAAAGAGCATGTATAAGCCACACCAAGCCATTTTCAGATTGAAACTTAGAGGCGTGTTTCTGAGACTGGTAGGCCAACTTACTGGGTATTTTAGAGGTAACTTAAAAACTCGAAGTTCCTCCGTTTGAAAATAATGATGAGACATGTTGTAATCTACAGGATATAGCTGAAACACATGCAATCAACACTACACGCACTGAGACTGGCATCACATGTCCCATTTTATTTTGTTTATGAATCTTGCAACGATTTACTCTGTTTTGCAGGGTGATTCAAATTTGAGATCATGTGTGGCCAGTCTAGGATACAACAGGAGCTATGGGGAAAAACATGTGCAGGCACAAAATAGCATAGTAGTTGCAAATGGAATATGGACTTAGTCTTAAATGCTTGTCATTGAATGCAAACTGTCAGTTCACTGAAAAATCTGTACCATCTTTTCCTTCCATCTTAAAAAATTAAAAATAAAAGAAAGAAATATCTTACTCTTTGAGGAGATCCACTTGCACTGAAGACTGGTCCAACTTCACCTTCTCCATGACTTAGCCAGAAGTCAACAAATACTTGTGCTACAGTCTCACTGCGCCATATTTCTGTCCTTGTGCTTGTAACAGCAGTAGCAGGCGATGAATGTAAGGATCCAGTACTGCTACCTTGCTGAATCACTGACTGTCTCAACAACTGGGGAGTATGTGTTGATCTAAAGGAAAGGTAAAAATTAAATTTTAAAGCACTGCCAAATTTATTAAACCACCAATAAAGCAAACCTGAACAGACGATTCCCCACCTAGATGACTGAAAGTTAGGCATTCGCTGCAAAGTGCCATAAGGCCCAAAGGAAGCACTATAACTTTGAAGAACTCCAAAATTGAAAGGGACTGAAGGGAGCACTGTAGAACGATCACAAGGCAACAGTTCACTCAGATAAGCCTCCGTCATGTTTAAGTATAGAGATTCTGAGTGAAGCCAGGCATTCATGTGCAATCTTTGTAACTCTGGGTTCACAAGATGATAAGCAAAGTGAAAGATGTAGAGTTCAAAAGAATCTGAACTAAAATTAAGGATAACCCAAACAAAATGCAGTATTTTAGGAGTACAGTGCAGGAAAAGTTGTGTGTCGATCAAAGGATACTGAGAGCAAGGCTTGTTGGAGTTTTTGTTTGAGGGTCAAACTGCAATTTATCTAAATAAAATGGTGGCACCATTCCTCTCAAAATCAAATGCTTGATTCGAGCCTGCAAAATAAAGTAAAACAAGGAGATAATAATGGTCAGTCAATATTACTTCAACGCATGACATACGCAATTTCTGACAATTTTGACAATTACCGGCAACCAGTGAAGAGGGAATTCATACTTGAGATGACAGTCTTGAAGCAGCTTGTACAAGAGTCTGAACAATGGCCCTTGTGGATGTAGAAACTGATACAAAACATTGTAGTCAGTGAATTCATTGGGTTGAAGAAGAGTCCTAGTTCGAAGGCCCCAGCCTCCAACGGTGGAACTAGTGATGTTACTGGAACCCTGATGAGAAACTCCAAACAAGTCCGCCAGGAGAAGAGGCAGGGCATTTTGAAGTTCTTTGGTGCCAAGTTCGTCTATAATCCTTGTGATTTCTTCACATCTATACTGCAGTGGATTTTGAAGAGCCAGTTGAATGCGGGACTGAAACAAGAAAGTGGCTCTTAATAAAGCTGTACACCAAGAGGTGATCCTGAAAAATAAATTAAGGTGATGCGGCTGGAAAATAATTAGAGATTGTACAGGGGACAAGTCGGTGCCAGGAGTAGATGAAGGGCGGAGAACATATAAGGACAGGAGGAGGTATTACCGGGTATGGAAGTAGTCTTCTATACCAGAGGGGAGGGTGAATGGGCCAGAAACGGGATAAAAAATACCGGAATATCTGTATGGGAAGTGGACAAAACATAAATCATCGTGTCTATCTTGTCAAATGCAACGAAATGTGAGTGGTTAGGTTAGCAAGGTCTATGTTGACAGTAGAAACATCGAGCCACAAATGATGACTTCGCAACGGCCCTTTCCGTTAGGGTATTTCTTTTCTTGAGTCGTGCAAGGGAAAGCTTCAATCCGTGAGATAAAGGAGCATTAACTTACAGTTGCAGTGGAGCCGTAGGTTGACGCCATGATTTCAACCGAAAACAACACTCATCTGACCGCAGTGTTTTTCATACTTCGGACCCCTTTGAACCAACAACAACAACATCAACAACATGACACACTGCCTTTGAGGTGTTTGATTGCAACTAGCAGACATACTTAACCTCTGTGTCTCGTCAATCAAATTACCACCTTATTAGAACGATGAAATGAACTAGATCTTCCCATTTACTCTAGATGGTCTGATAGCTTGAACGTCCTTAAACATGTCCAAGGGCAAGCTGAGGAGTGTCGCAGATGTATGTGGCGACTGCGGGGCTTTGGGTAAGAGGCTTCCTTTGCTTTCATAGCTAATCCTTAATCCTCCTCATAGGTACACACCCTAGTTTGTTTTCATCACTGGAACTATTTCTAGTGTTTTACTTTAGTACTGAGAAATCATTTATGCAACCCTACATGGCCTGATCTCTCAAATTAATATAAATACCTGTGACCCCTAATTCCCACATCTTTCTATTATGGTGCTGTTTGTTATATGAATTTACTTGACGATTTAATCTATGTTTCTGTAGAACCTGGGTGGGCATCTGTGAACCGCTGCATATTTTTATGTGACGAATGCTGCAGTATCCACAGAAGCCTGGGACGACATGTCTCTCATGTGAAGTCTCTGAAGAAAGGCAACTGGAGCCCATCACAATTACTGGTTTGTCTTTTATACCTTGCTCGTATAAGGCGTAAATAGGTGTTTTGCTAAAGTCAAATCAATCAATTTTTCTGTTTTTAGATGGTGCGGACACTCAACGGTAGCGGAGCTAACAGTATCTGGGAGCATACATTATTAGACCCAGCTAATTCAAAGGGAGGTCGGCGTAAACCACAACCTCAAGACCCGCTTCAGTGAGTACATGATTTAATTCCACCAAATGAATAATACTCATGTGATTTATGTCACAATTTACTCTATTTTGGTATTTATTGTATGTGTTTTGTTCCAGCACCACCAAAGCTGACTTCATTCGATCTAAACATCAATCGTTGTCATTTGTGTTCCGCCCTTCCAAGGAAGAAATCTCATCAGATGATGCTGATCTCAGTCAGCAGTTGCACTCCAGTGTTAGAACGAATAATTTGGAAACAAGTTTGAGACTTTTATCACAAGGAGCCGATGCCAACTTCTTCCATCCCGTAAGGCCCATATGATTACTCTCATATTTTACAATCCCCATTTCATTGCAATTAAACATAAATATGTATGTAGGAAAAGCGTACAACTCCTCTACATGTTGCTGCTCAAGCTGGACAAGCTTTGCAAGTGGAGTTGCTCTTGGTGTACGGGGCCAATCCCAACGAGGAGGACCAACATGGACGCACACCAGCTTATTTTGCCAGGTAAGTCTTTATTTTAAAATTTAAAAAAAATGTTTAGTATTGTTTGCAGCATCTAGGTTTCTGAAGTCATTGGTAATCTTTTCAAATACTGTACCATTACATTTGGGGCTTTCAATTTCAGGTGTGCGGGTCACATGGAGTTGGCAGAACGCATAATTGAGTGTCTGTATGAAGTGACAGACCGTTTGTCCTATTTCGTCTACGGCCGGAAACCAGAACATAGAAAAGGCCAACACCTAATCCTTCCAGAAAAGTCTAACTGTGGTGAGGTCGCAGAAATTTCTCAGGAAACAAGGATGAAACTTCAGCAGCTTCCTAATCAACTTTTTGAGGAATTGGCCACTGATGTTTACGATGAAGTTGACCGCCGTGAAACTGAAGCTGGTGAGTTGATAATTTTCTTTCTAGTAAATATAACATACAAACAGTCATTTCCTCCAATTCCCTTCTCATTCAGCATGGTTGTGTGGCCCTGTTGCGCTGGAAAATGCTTCAGTTCCATTCCTACCGGTTAATCCTGAACTATCAGCCACTAGAAATCAGGGCAGGCAGAAGTTAGCACGGTTCAGCTCCAGTGAATTTGCTGCTCTTATTATTGACATCCTCTCTGATGCAAGAAGGAGGCAGATGTTTGGTAAGAATGTAGCCTTGACTTCATTTAATGGTACTCTCATTGGCACAGCTTTTTCTTCATTGGTTTTGTTTTGCTTCATTTTATTTTTCTGTAGCATCAGCACCAAATCAGTATGGTGATGTTAATGTTAAGCACCATTCAGAGCTTTCAGATGATGATCCATTGTATGATAGTGTAGCATCTGATGAAGATTATGTAACCGCTGAGCAATTAGCAAAATGCTTAAAAGTAGCTGTATGTATTTTAATATTCTTTTCATATGTGTTTCTTTACTTCCTAGGTTAAAAATGTATTTTAAATTATTTTTTTTTATTGTAACTCTTTAAAGGATGCCGGGAAGTTTATTCCTCCACAATCTGGTGACGCGTCAGGAAATACTATCAGTCCCGAAAAGGTAATGTCTAGTGTGTATATTACATCATTACATGATTTTTTCTTTAAACAACAGTACAGCGATGTTGCAGTGAGCACTTTTTCATTCCATTTTCTTTTGCAATGACAGAACTCAGATTCTCCTAGACCTTCTACAGAACAAGAACTTCGCCATGAACTGAACTGTGCTAACGCTTGCATAAATGAACTTAAAATGGAGCTCCAAAAGATGCAGACTGTGGTAACTTTCAATTTTCACATATAACTTCTTTGCCTTTACGCTTTTACTGTCTTTTTGCATTTATTTCTTGACATTGACTTCCATCAGGTTCAAAAGTTGGAAGCTGAGAACTCAGAGCTGCGCCGAATGAGGAGCAATCCTCTTCCCAACGGTCATGAAGCGGAGCCCGGTCTTCAATCCGCACATGTCCAGCGCCCCTCATCCATGTATGAGCCCAGAGAAGGATTACGATCTTCCCCTTGGGGAAACGCAAAGAATCAGGTAAAAGCTGTGTATAACAATTTTTGTCTTCTTTTTCAACTTTTAATGATTTCAAATAAATCTTTGCTTTCCTGCATTATTAGGTTTTCCAGAACTCAATGGTTCCCATGCCTCTGCCTGAGGAGGTCATGCGTAGAACTGATCAGGTGACCAAACGCATTCAGGAGCTATGGGTATCTATGCAAGAGCAAAGTTCACCTGTCCTGAATAGAGACACGTTTGTGCCTTGTGCAGAGCGCATAAGGGTAGCCGTTGCCGAACTTACAGCTATATTTCCAAAGGTATCATTGCAAACATTTATTTTTTTCAAAGAATAATTTTTAATAAATTCCACACATCTGTACTAACAGCTTTGATTTTGTTGAATGCAGACCCCAAGTGATGAAGCCATTCGATCTTCTCTCAGAGCTCTCATAAATAACACAGCCCGCCTCCAGGCTGACTGTGCTGGTCTTCAAAATAGTATGGGAACAGATCGAAGTATATTTTTGCAGCAAGTTCGGTCAACTGCCTATGATATTGCAAAAGCAACAAAGGTGCTGGTATCCACACAAATCCAGCAGCAACAGCAGCTTCAAGCAACTCCCCCTCCTCAATCGCCCCAGCCTTCTCTTTGTCAGCAACAGAGTATTTAATTTGGGCTATAGCATATACAGTGGTGGTATTTTAAATATGCGATGACATTGAGTGTTAAAGCTCACCTTTTGATTGTGTAGTTGTGTCATAATTTGTACCTACTCATGTGATACCACTCATTTTAAAAGTAGGTTAACAACTTCCTGTTTGCCATTGTAGTTAATGTGTATCTCTGTAGTGCTCTTTTTCTGTGTGGTGTCATTCATTTTAGAAGTTTCAGAGATTGTCACAATTCATTGTAACAAAGTCACTTTTAGTTCCTTGAAGAATATTTTATTCATTAATTCAGTAGTAAAATGTCTAACTCACTCAGAATTCTGGTGGTATTCTAGCGCATTTATGATTGGATTCATTGGTGTGATATGCTTTATGTTTACTACTACACCTTTGGACTTTTCAAACATTTTTACCATTGTATATTTTCATTTAGTGTAATCATCATTAAATGTTTTTATTGTCAGTCTGATGATTGATTTTGCCATGACTCATTTGTCATCCATTCATCATCGCATCATTGTAATTATGATAGAACTTTCTGCGCTGAATCATTGTTTTACATTTAATAGATCAGTTTGCTGATTCTTTTGCCAAGTGGCATACTGTAGCGCATAAATTATTTGAGTACTTTATAATACAAAGCAGTATGTACTCAGTGAACCTGTGCAAAACCTGTGATAATCATTCATTATGTGTTTTATGGTTTTATGTCCCGATTGATTTTTAGTGAGTTGCTGGTGTTGCTGGCAGGTCATTGAAACTCCTACAATGTTATTACTCTGGAACTTGATGATACATTTTTAGCACATTGCTTATGCCATAATACTAATTAGTGATTTCTCAAACCCATGTATTTTATTCATTTCTGACTGATTCTAATTAAAGTAATTTGCAAAATAAAATGCAAGTGTTTTTGTGGTTGTTGATGTTAACACTAGGTAGTCGCGTTACCATTGTTGTATTGAAACCTTAGGTATTTTGTTTGTAATGCTTGGTTTTTTTTAAATTAACAGAGTCTTATTCCTCTGTATTTCTCTCTGAACTAATCATGCCAATGAAGAAGGAGGATGGGGAACTCTCAGAGAAAGTTTTATTAATTAATTTACTTCTACCTGCCACACGATGCAGAGCAAATATTTTTTATTTGGAAATGATGCCATCATAGTATTTTAGTAACATAGTATTGACTAAGCCACAGCCAAGGCCACACTCATGTTTTTATAAGGAGTGTGAAGGAAACAGAGTTTATCAAGCATCATTGTCTTTCTTTATGCATGCCCTTAAAACTCAAGTGCCAAAAGTTAATATGCTGTGTGAGGTCCAGGATCAAATGTAATTGATGTTTAACTGTAACAGCTTGGAATGCCTGTATTGCCATGACACGTGGTTTGAGTTTATGGTTATCGGTTACTGTAGGTAGAACAGAAACAATTATCAAATACGACAATTGGGGGTTTTCTTCTATTGTTTATCAATTATTTAATTATGCAGACAGTGGGTAAGTTTTGATCGAGGCTATGGCTCGGCTATGTAGATTGGTAGCCTAGAAATTACATCAAAATAAACACACTAAAATGATTTATGTTGCTCATATCACTTACTGTAACAATACACTATTTTGTCCAATATCACAGTCTTATTTTACTCTGAACTTTGGTGAAAAGCAACAAAGAAAAACCTTTAATACACATACTTTAAAAAGAGTCTCATTATAGTGTCTTCAAATTCTTCTAGAGCTTAGACTTCATTTTGAAGTACAATTAATTGCTCGGTACAATTAAACATTTGTCATGGTTCCTGCCCTATTTGTCATGTATGCATTGACTGATCTTCTGTATGTACCGAAAAATGATGACCACCTTAATGATGTCACCTTAATATGTGGTTTTAAATTCTAAGCTTTCTGTGTAGCTACAAAACAGCGTTATCTTGAGGCATCAAAGTGAGTGATTTGTTTCAATTCTATGCTAATTACATAAGTCTAAACTTTAAGTCTTAAACAAATAAAAAGCGATTCACATCCAAGTGTCAGCAGAACTTATTATAATGGAAACTAGTACATAGAATATCAATAAATAACTACATTTAACAATTTACATACATGGACTATTTTTATTTCAAGAAAAGCCCAAGTGAGACTCCAACTATTAAAGATTCACCATCACAACTACACTACTAACTCTAGCTCTATATGGAGTACCACACTAATACTCTACCTCTTTGTTAAAGATTTTGCTTTCAAGGGCAAGGGTGTCGGTGTTGCTACTTTAAAGCTACATTCAAAATAAGAAAAGAGAGAAGCTTGTTTTTTTGTCCACACGAGATTAATCTACAAACTTATGCATAAATGTAGTAATATTCATCTTCAAATGAAGAGATATCTTTAAACAAAATAAGGACACCAAAAGCTCTCAAAACCATGCAATAATTTTTTTTTTCCAATTTAAAAATACCTTCCTACATAAAACATCCATGTTCATAACAGTATTTTCGATGTTCGCATAATCTTTATTAACAACCATGAGATATGACTCCTTTAATGAATCAATGAAATGACACTCAAGCAGATATTTCATGGGAGCATCTTTCTTAACATATTATTTATAAAGAACTATGTGTAAAACTTTATGTCTTGTTTCTATCTAGCTTAGTTTTAATTCACAGAGAACAGAATGAAAAAAGAGAAATGGAAAGAGACAGACACCCAGGCCTGGGGAAATGGCTTTCGTCTGTCTTAAGGCAAGCCAAGCTTCACAAGCCGTGTTCAGGTCAATGGATCGCCTCTCTGTCTTCAATATTGCACTAGAGGTGAATGACTCACACCGACGGGTTTCGAACCCGGGCCTTCCCGCTCGGCGTGGCCTTGGAGCCCGCACAGTCCGATAGTTCGCTCGCCTCCAGGACGGCCTGCGGGGAGGCTAGTCCCCGACAGCACTGACACTCGGCGAGGACGAGGCGACGAGAGGGTTGGGGGAATGACCCACGCGCCCGACGGGGAGGGGAGCCGCCTGAGATTCCGAGAGCGCCGCCTAGAACTGCTGGTCGCGGTAGCCGTTGCTGATGAGCTTGCCGTTGCCGTTGTCCTGCTGTTGCTGCTGCTGCTGCTGCTGGTGGCCGTTGCTCAGGGCGGTGCGCACCAGGGGGATGGCGGCCTGGGACTTGTGCCTGCGCACGGACACGTACGACGTCATGGTGTTGCCCCTGGCCATGGAGAGCGTGCCGCCGCAGCCGGGGGCGCCGTGCAGCCCCATGGGGCCCATGCCCATGCCCAGCGCGCCGCACCGGCCGCAGCACAGGCGGGCCAGCGCCTGCCGGAAGCCCTGGCGGAAGCGGGAGTTCATCCAGCAGTAGATGAGCGGGTTGGCGCAGCAGTGCGACATGGCCAGCCAGTGGCAGGCCAGGTACACGTAGGGGATGAGCGACCACGTGCCCACGGTCTGGTCGTTGTCCCACGTCACCTAGGGCAGGCAAGGCGCATTGTCAAGACACAGCGAAACCGCACCCCCGACCCTCCCAGTCTCACAATGCTTGTCGCTCTGTCTCTCTCGCGCCCCCCGCACGCCCCACGAGAGCGAGAGAGACAGAGCGAGCCGGGCGGGCACCACAGCGCGGTGGGCGCATCGGCGGGCCTACCACTGTGGAATCCAGCGCCCCGCTGGTAAAAATCAGGTCCCCTCTCCGGAAAGGTCACGCTCCGTGTTCCGAATAACGCTCGGCGGCACTCGGCCGCCGATTGGTTACACTTCATTCTTATCCGGGCGAGGGCGCCGCGACCGGACGAAGACCCTGCCGAGGACCCGGCCGGCCAGCCAATGGGGACGGGCCAAGGTGACCTCGGAGACGCCCTTCTCGCACTCGGCCCACCACACTTTGCGAACGAACTGCCGCAGGATCATTTCGAAGGGCCCGCCGATTCTAATCAGAGCAGAGTACTTACGAGCAGCGTGTTGAGCGGCAGCCAGCAAATGGTGAACACGAGTACCACCGTCACCATCATCTTGATCATCTGCAACAAAAAACACGAGTGCGCCGTTTAGAGCCTGCAAAACTATACGCTTCAGATTTCCCAGTGTGACTGTGGCTGCAAAATGTGAAATGTGCTGCGGCGGCTCTTGTGTCGTTTTCTGTAATGGTATGCAGTCCCGCCGACCGCACTGCCCGACACTCCTCGCAGGACAGCGGGGGCTGACGCGTCTCTCTCTCTCCCCCTAACGCAATGGGCGTGACACGCACGGGTGCGAGAGAGACAGCCCGAGGCCCCCGCGCGCACAGCCTGCAGCGAAAGGGTCGAGGGATAGAGAGGATATGAGGTGCCACTGGGGAGGGGCGTGGAAATGGGACGGCCAGGGAGGCCAGGGCGAGGGTAGCAGCGAGTTGGACAACAAAACCGCTGCCGCGCTGCCGCTGCGGGTACTGCAAATCAAAGGGTGTGGCGGACAACAACGGGACATGGCCGGCATGGTCGCGCCGAGAATTCAGCGCGGACCTCAAAGACCTCAAAGCGGAGCGAAACACTGAAAGCACACTGATTCCGAAAGTCGTTTCGTGCCTTGTCACTCGTGGGGCGTCCATCGCGGGTGCGAGAGAGACAGAGCGACGAGAGGGAACTCCGGGGATCAGCATGCAGGGTTGCCAGGGGCGCCGTGTCCCCACAGGCCCGCGCGAAGGGCCGCGCGTCGCGCAACAGTGGCGGAGTGGATCCGGCGAAAACGAAAGAGCGGAACCTCGCCGACGATCGCCGGGCCGTGAAAACCGCGACCATTCAAATGGAGCCACGCGTCGCCCTTGACCTTGGCGACAGACAGATAGATAGAAGCGAAAACATTATTGGAGGCTTTTGCTAGTGGTGGTGGAGGCGGGTGGCCGGGGCGGAGCGCCTGTGAAGGGCCGGGTAGGCAATCCGCTCCACGGCCGAGTCCAGCGGCACGGTGTTGACGTCGTGGCAGGCGCTCTCTCTCGCTCTCGCTGCGTGTGCGGGCGAGGACACTGGAGGAAAGGGGAAGGGGGCGTGGATAAGGAGAGGAAGGTCCCTGTAGTCGAGCCGTGCTTCGCATTGAAACTCCCCGGCCGGGTTGCTGATAGCAACTGCTTTCGTCTGGCTCTTTGGGGGACATGCGTGCCGTGCCTTGCAGTGGCGTGGCGTGGCGTGCTTTCCCCTTTGGTTCATTTATTGCACACACGTTCCTGGGCACGCAAAGGCAGCAAGGGATCCGCTGGAAACAAATAAGAACACGACGGCGGCCTCCACGACGGCGGCCTCCACGACGGCGGCCTCCACGACGGCGTGCTCGTCCGGGATGGCGGTGATGATCGCAGCGCGCCGCCATCGCCACACTGTTTTCTGATCATCTCCGAGGGCGGCCCGGGCCGGCCGTGGGGCCAAATAACCAATCGACGCACGCGGAGGCGAGATGTGTCGGCGGCTCGTAAAATCAACAACAACAACAACAACAACAACAACAACAAAAAGCAGGAGCAGCAACAAAGAGCTGGGTGGCGCTTTGATAGGTGGCGACGTGTCTGCCATGGTCGACGAGACGAAAAAAAATCAAAACGGTGTTGAACCTGCTTAAAACCAAATTGCAACGGGGTTTTTGTTTTGATTAGCGGTGTGGTAGGTGAAAATTTAATGGTGGCTCAGGTTTTTAGATAGACGCTGGCACAGTGTAGGCCCGTGGTGAGGATGAGGGAACGTTCTGTCCGCCCCGTGGTGGTGCCATCACGACCCGTGGTTATTGGAGCCACCACGCCACCACGGCACCACGGCGCTAGCAGTGTGGGTCCTCGCTCCGGCTCCGGCCGTTGGAGCCGGATGAGTTTTCCTTTCGGGACCGCGCTGAACATTGGCGGCCGTCCGTGTGTTGCCGCCAGTTCATCCGAAGCGATTCTCCCGCGCCTTGTTACCCCCGTCCTTAACCTTGACAATCTTAAACCCGAAACCCCCCGGCCACCTCCTCGCCCCGCCCCCGCCGTGCCCTGGCCTCCAGTGTGGACCTCACCCCCAAGAGATTCGCTCGTTTAGGAGTTGAACGGGTCCAAGGACCGTCCGTGGCGAGGCGTGGTGTCGGGGCGGGGTGTAGAGGGGGGGGGGGGGGGGGGTTAGGCCGGGGGGCTGCACGCCTATTTTGCCTGTAGCAACCCAGTGGCCCCGAAGGTCTCGCCGAATTAGGCGCAATCAGTTTAGAACCGACAACCCAATGTTATTTCTCTTTTCTTCCCTTTTCTTTCATTCCGAAGGGATCGCGGGGCAATAAAGGTGGGGAAAGGGGAGGGGAAAATTCAGTGAATCGGAACTCGATCTCCAGGGGGGGCATCAAACACCCTCGAGGGACACGATTCATTGTCTCGTTGTCTTTGTCGCACTCGCTGGGTAGAATGGGGAGCGAGACAGAAAGGGCGAATGGAAAGACAAAAAAAAGCCTCCCTGACCCGCTTTGGGAGCGATCACCTCCAGAGCAGTCGGTTCGGTTTTACGAAATGAGTGCCGATTCGTTGTACTGGCCGAGCGAAGCCGAGAGGGACGCACCCCGCGGCGCTTTAGCGGTCACACCGAGTTCACTTATTTTTGGAAACTAACGAGGCGCGGTCAATTCCAGCCAAAGAAGCGCGGCACCGCAATGAGCTGGAACGAAGCTGGAGCCGCTGGAGCTGGAGCGAAGCGGAAAGCCGGAGAGCCCCAGAGCGCCGCCCGACCAGTGCGGCGGCCGAGCCGGTCGCACTGGCTGCCCCAGGCCCCCTGAGAGTACGCCACCCAGATGAGATTACCCAGCGTCTGGACGAGTGCGGTGTGGGCGGGTGCTTTCAATATTTGGCTATGAAGTATGACCCTTACTCCCCCAAAAGGCCCGAATTTGACATGTCAAAGCTAAAACTTCTAGAAAATTACACAAAAATCTCAAAAAAATAATAATTTTGAAATTGAATAAAAATTACAAAAATTTGTAAACTGATGAAAATTTTTGAAAAAATTCAGTAATTTTGCAAAGTTTGAATAATATTAAACAATTTAAAAATTCTTTGACAATATTTGGAAAGTGTACACAAAATTTTTGAGTTGTTTCCTCCTTGGGTAAGACGTCTGGGCACTGACTCACCTTTCTCTTGGCCACGGCCATGCGCTGGTCGCGGATGTTGTGCGCCTCGCCGGGCGTCCGCTTGCCCCACACCACCAGGGCGATCCTGGTGTACGTGAACATGAGCACCAGCAGCGGCACCAAGTACTGCAGCGCCATCAGCAGCATGCTGCAACAGAGAGGACGGAATTGGTTAAAAAACGGCGACCGTGCAGGACCCTGCGCTTTGCCTTGCAGAGAGTCTAATCTGCGCCAGTGAGATAGAGCGGGCTGACCTCGCGACGCGACGCATTGCTTGGCCGAGGGTGTTCTCCTGGGGGCGTTCCGTCACCGGGGCGGGGCGGGGCGGGCGCTGTATCGCCCACGCCCGCGTCCTGCGTGACGGATACGGACACGTACTGCGAGAATGGTGGACTCGGTGGCGTCGCCAAGGAGGGACCGGCAGGACGCAGTGCGTTTCATGGAAAAAAATCGGCGGCAAAAAGTGGCAATACGAAAGTCTCAAGGAGACCCGCCGATCAGCTTCGGTGTTCTTATGGGAACCGGGCCTTCATCCGACGCTTCCCTGCCGCGCAATTCGACAGATTAGTGGAGTTCGTATTGGGCTGGCCCACCCGAAGTGCGCGCGGTTTCTGTGGTACAGTGAGAGTCCAGATTCAGAGGCCTTACCTCAGAGGGGTCACATTGGGTATTTGAACCCGCGACCCCGAGTGCCGAGTCTAGTCAACTCCTCTACCCTGACCGCTCAGCCACCGAACCAGCTTGTCAGCGGCGATGTCGCAACTCCTCTTGAGCTGCCGTTCGAGAAATCTGGTCCCGAAAAAATTGTACTGTGAGCGGTCTCGAACCCGAGACCTGCCGCTTCCCACACCGTGCTCTTAACCACTGAGCCACCGGGACGCCATGGCACCCGCCCTGCCTGCGCTGGTACTGAATCTTCTCTGGATATACCCCCCCAAGCAATCGGTCGCCGAAAAAATTGTGTATACTACCGGTCCCGAACCCCAGACCTGCCGCTTCCCACATCATGCTCTTAACCACTGAGCCACCGGGACGCCGTGGCACCCGCCCGGCCTGCGCTGGTACCCAATCTTCTCTGGATATACCTCCCCAAGCAATCGGTCGCCGAAAAAATTGTGTATACTACCGGTCCCGAACCCGGGACCTGCCGCTTCCCACACCATGCTCTTAACCACTGAGCCACCGGGACGCCATGGTACCCGCCCTGCCTGCGCTGGTACCCAATCTTCTCTGGATATACCTCCCCAAGCAATTGGTCGCCAAAAAAATTGTACTTTGAGCGGTCTCGAACCCGGGACCTGCCGCTTCCCACATCAAGCTCTTCACCACTGAGCCACCGCGACGCCATGGCACCCGCATTGCCTGCGCTAGTACCCAATCTTCTCTGGATATACCTCCCCAAGCAATTGGTCGCCGAAAAATTAGTACATACGTACTACCGGTCCCGAACCCCAGACCTGCCGCTTCCCACGAGGTGCTCTTATCCACTGAGCTACCGGAGGACCATGGTGCCCGTTGTGCCAGAGGCTCTGTCTGTCTCGCACTCATGGGGCGGCCCGTGGGGCCGCGAGGGAGACAGAGCGACGGGCGGCGGAACGGCACCGGGACCTCTGGCGGGGCGGGACGAATCGAGATTGTATTATTCGACGTGCATTATGGATCACGGGCCGGTCTGCCCGCATTAACGTCGCACCGGAACCACAATCTGCTCTATATTTCCCCCCCCTCTCCCTTTCGTCTTCAAAGCCGCGCGCTTCCTTCCGTCTCTACTCGATTCTCGCTCTGTCTCTCTCGCACTCGTGGGGCTCTCCGTAGGTGTGCGAGAGAGACGGCGACAAAGCGATCTTCCGAATCGCTCGGCTGTGTTGTGTGTTCTGCGTGACAGTGTGCGCACTGTGAGTGCGTGTGTTTTGCTAGTGTGCGCGTTCGGGTGCACGGCGAACTCCGCGAATCTGCAGTGACGTCACGGCGCTGGTGACGCGGAGGCGCGGAGGGCATCCCTGTGCTTTCTTTTCCCCTGACGACGCTTGCTGCAAGGAAGGCGAAAAAAAAAGATGGGAGAAAAACGGCCGGAGGCGTTGCTGGCTGCGAATTGGTTATGGAACGTGGCCTCGTTGTCTTCGAGGAGGGATCGGCCCCCACGGGGGCCCCGCCAGCGCCCCGCCAGGGCCTCACCGTGCTGCCGTGCGGCCTGCTGCCGTGCTTGGGGGCAGGCCCAGGCCAGGCTGCTGACAACACCAACCCGACGGTCGTTTATCGGATCGCGACCGATTTTTCACACATGGAAGTACCGGACACGCTTCCGAAACACCAGAGTGGCCTGTAGCATTTTGCACGTTGTCCTCACCGAATTTCTATACATGTGCAAATTTATTGGTACAAATTTTGTACGCGCAACAGCACGAATCTTGCATTTATTTCAAAACTGCACAGAGGAATGCAGAGTTGATTTTCGGTGGAAGTTTTGGTGTCCGTGTGTGGCGCTGACAGCCGGCCTGCCGAGGCGGGTTCCAGTGTAGGGACAGGCTGGCAGGGGCAGGCCGCCGCTGGCGTGAGGTACGACACCTCCGGGAGACGGCCGCGGTCGAAAAACGTCGTGACAAAATACCAATGCGGGCTGGCTGGGGGAAGCTGGAGGAGGGGAGGGGAGGGGGAAGAGGAGCTGGAGAAAAGGGGGGGGGGGAGCCGCAGGACGGAAGCAAGACGTCTCCGGCACAGCGGCGGCGGCACAAGGAAAGAAATCATGGCCCCCATATTTCGATAGCTCGATAGGTTCGTCCCATTGACGCGGGGCACTCCACTGTGTGCCACTCAGCGAGCGCCCCCACCCCCACCACTCTAAGTCGGCACTCTTTACCCTATCTTTGCTCCCCGCCTCCACCGAGTGAATTGAAAAGGCATGCCGGCCCAGCCCCGGCGCGGCGGGCTGGCGTGTGGCCGCGTGGCGCGCAGTGTTGCTGGCAGCGCGTGGGTGTGGGTCTCCATCCCTCCCCGCGGTCCTCCCCGGTCCTCCCCGGTCCTCGCTACAATAAGGGGCAGCCCCTCGAGTCCTTGGAGGGAGCTGCCCAAAGTATGAAGTCAGGGCGCGGGGGCGGGGCGGGGCGGGCGGGGCGGGGCGGGGCGGGGCAGGGACCTGCAAAGGACGCCGTGTGCGGCAAAAGCCACATTTCCAGTGCGGGATCCGAAAGGATTAAAGTCACGCCCTTCAAGAGTCGCTGCTTAAGATAGAGGCGGAGTGTCTGGCACGCCCTTCCCGCCCTTCGAGCTCCCGGCCCTGCAGCCCTACGGGCCGCGCCCTGGGCCCTCCGGAGGCCTCGGCATATTGCAACGAGGACACGAAGCGGCAAGGCATGGCACGGCGTGGCACAGAGGGCCTAGGCCACGACCTCGGCCACGCTGGAGATGTGGAGCGAAGGGCTGGCCGGGCGACACCCCAAAGCCACCCCAAAGTCTCGCGCCATGCCTGCGCCCCGCGCCGCCCGAACCTAAATAACCCGACATAAATTCGGGCCGGCATCGGGATCCCCGCAGATTCCCCCTCCCCCTGCCCTGCCCCTAGCGCTAGGCCTGCCCCGCCGAGTATATAGCCTGCTGACCCACTGCAATGTGACGCCGCCGCGTGTCCGACTGATTCGGATTCGGGTTCGGATTCGGCTGCTTGTTTGTGACACACACTCACACGCACACACACAGCGTCGCGGCACACTGTAGCACACAGACACGCCGAATTGACCTCTGAAACTTGATCTGGGGCTTCCCTGGCGCTGAACCTCGGTCTGGCTGAAGGCTGAAGCCGGCACCGCAACGCTCCGACGCCCTCTGCCGCGCTCGGCCCGCTTTGCCTGCAGACTCGTTCCGAGAGTCGCTCTGTCTCTCTCGCACTCATAGGGCACGCCGCATGAGTGTGAGAGAGACAGCAGAGCGGCGAAACCGACTCTCGGAATCAGTGTGCTGCTTTGGCCGCTTTGCGGCGGTGGCGGGCGTGCTGGAGTCTGCAGAAGCCACTCGCATTCCGGGGCAACCGCCCCCGCCCCCTCCCCCCGTGCGTGTGGCTGCCCCAGCGCGGCCTCGCGGGAGCGAGCGCGGCGGCCACATATCAGATCGCGCGGTGGCGGAGCGGAGTCTATCTGGCCGTTGTTGATTTTGTCCGATGGGGTTCCGTGCTCCGCCCCGCCCCGCCCCGCCCCGCCCCGCCGCGGATGGCAGGCAGCCCCGCTGGACTTACTTAGGGACGACCACGCTCGACGTTCAGCGCCGCTCCGCGCGGTGGTGAGGTACTTTAAGCCAACCTAGAGATGACCTACCCAGCATGAACAGCAAAAGAAAAACCACAAGAGAAAAGTCCGCGGTGGGAGGACTTGAACCTCTGGCCCTTACTGCCGAGTCCGAGTCAAGTGCCGTATCAACTACACCGCTTCACGAGGGCCACGGCGGCCACGACGGCCAGGGTGCACTTGGCTCCAGCCTGGTTTCAGCGCGGCCTTGTTCCAGTTTCCTTTGTTTTTACTTTGTCTCCCTCGTTTTTGCCGAAAGTAAGTAGATACTGTATTCGCAATTTTGCTTGTGCGCCACGCTGGGTCGGCGCTTGCGTACGCACGTCGCGACTGCACCGCCCCCGCGTGCACCGCCCCCGCCCGAGCACAGCGCTGCATAGTCCACTGCCAGCCGCCCCCGCGCAGTGTATAATCCCCCTTGCGCGCGGGGGCGGCACAGAGGCACAGCCACCGCCAAAAGGTCAGCCAGCGACATGATTTTAGCATTTTGAAGCCCCCAGGGGATTCCACCGCTTGTCACGCGTCGGGTTTGGATTCTCGCGCCGTCCCTTCCAGTGTGGGTCCGAGCCAAGGACGCCCCGGCTCTGCCAGTGGGTCAAGGGAGTCTCCGGGGTGTCTGCAGCGACTCTCCAGCGATTCTCCAGCGAGTCCAGCGGAGCAGAGCGGGGCAGATAATCCGCGTCGCACGCAGTGCAGTGGAGGTTCGCCTCGCCTGGAATCTCATTGGATATCTTGTGGATGAGTAGGGGCGCCGAGCGAGAGCCGAGCCGATGCACTGGCAGTATGGCCTCCCGTCCGGGGTCCGACAACGAGGTCCGCATTCCTTCGCGGAGGGTTAAGGGTTGGTGCGGCCAGCCCGGGCCAGCCTGCACGCCAGACTCAGCTGCATACCGTGGGCACTGTTCCCATTTTCTGGACTGTTTCCGTGAAAAAATACGGCATCTTTGGCGGTTTTGTTTCTACGAGACAAGGCTTTGTAGGAACAAAAGAGGCCAGCTAGGAGGACCATTTTGATTTCTACGAGGCCTGCTTGAAGCGAGGCCTGTTTTGCAGGAAGCTAAAGGGCCTCTTAGTAACGGCCCGCAGACATGTGGGCTTGCAGTGTGGCAGCAGCAGGCGACCCACCTGTAGAAGTACTTGAACCGCGGCTCGTCCCAGCGCTCGGCGCAGACGGCGCGGTCGCAGGTGCGGTACTCGGGGCTGGGCTGGTCCAGCTCGGAGCGCAGCAGCACCGGCAGGGCGGTGAGCGCGGCGCCGGCCCACACCACCGCCAGCACGCAGCACAGCTGGCCCGTGGACAGGCGCGGCCGCAGCGGACGCAGGATGGCCACGTAGCGGTCGGCGGAGATGGCCACCAGCGTGTAGGCGGACACCATCACGGACACGGCCTGGGGCAGGGCACGCCGGTTACAGTGGGCCAGACGACCGGCGGCGGCCAAAACTCCAGACGCGTTTTGAGCTCCAGAGTCGCTGAACAGGACTCGATCTGAGCGTGTGACCCCACCAATGGATTCCTCGTTCGGAGAGGAATCCATTGGTGAGCTCACACGTTCGGTTCGAGTCCCATTTAGCGGCTCTGGAGCTCAAAACGCGTTCGGAATTTCGACCGCCTCCAGGTTTTGGGTGACGCTTACCTGCGAGTAGTTGACGACGGGGCACATCCAGGCGCCGAAGGGCCAGTACTGCAGCAGGAAGGTGGACACGAAGGAGAAGGGCACGCACACGAGGGTCATGAGCATGTCCCCCACGGCCAGGTTGAGCAGCCAGTAGTTGGTGGTGGAGCGCATGCGCGGCGACCCCGCCACCACGTACACCACCAGCCCGTTGCCCACCAGCGCCACGCAGAACACGGTGATGTACATGAGGTAGACCACGACCTGCAAGCAACGCAAGCAACGCACCCGCCTCAAAACCAGGGCTCTCAGAGCGGGGGCCATTACGGGTCGGACCTCTCCCTCTCTCTCTCTCTCGCTCCCCTGCCGCGGGCGGCCGCGTCGCATCCAAGTTTGCAAGCGGGGATTTCAAGTCGTTAAAGCTGCGACTACGATCCCGGAATCGCTCACGGCTCGCCCGGAGCGTCAGTGGACTTGTTCCCTCCGGCATCCTTTTTACTACCGGGCACTACCTGAGTGCTGGCCACCCCCCCCCTCTCCCCTCCCCCTCGGGGAACGCCCATTCATTAAGTAGAGATAATTTTGCGAGTGTATTCACCCCGCAGCACCCCGAGGCGCGGGGAGACGACCCCCGAGAGAAACTTCCGTATCTCTGGCACGGCGTTACGTGGTTTTGTGGACGCCCCGTCCCCTTTCTTCTGGTGTATCCTTTTCAGGGTGTACGACCCATTAGCAAAATACTGTGGAGGCAAGGCGAGGCGCCTGCGACTCAATAAAGCACTCCACACTGCCCCCCCCCTTTCCCGTCTTTTTCGCGCCACTGCTAGCCCCGTTTTGGCATTCCCTCTAACGTGCCTAATTACTCCCCACGCGTGGCTCTGCCTAGATAAGGGTAATGAGGCGTCAAATCGATCGTCGTCCCCCCCCCCCTCCTCTCTCTCCCTCTCTCTCTCTCTGCAGCACTTATTGAAGAGCAGTAGGGAAATATGACAGAGTGGTGGTGGTTTCCTGCGTCGCCCCGTTTCCCCTTCGAAACCATACTCACTCGTGTTCTAACAATCCAGTCTCTGCGGTATCAAGACGGTTCACCCAATTCCTTTCTCCCGAAACAGCAATGCCCACTCGTGTTTTGTCCATTACTTTTACATCCACCTCATTTAGCCCACCACCACTATAGCCCGCCAGCGTTTGTCCCACTGTACTTCCCCTTTCCCCCCACTGATGCACCCTCAAATCCTTACGATCCTTACAAAAACATACGTGCTTACGATAAAATTCACCGTGCCTTCCGATGAATCATGCGTTAGGACGGCTTATGCTTATTGCATAGGCGTGACAACTATGTGATCAGTGTTGATGACCCTTGTAAGGAAAATAAGCCTTGAAATGGCCATCAACTGACAACCAAAATTTTCATTGTGCAGACCTCAATACCTTACACTGGCAACTGTGCAAATTACGTAAGTGCCATTGACCGTACCTCACAATGACATATCATGAAATTCCCCCGCATCACCGAGGAGACAGAGGAAATTGGGACAGGTTACGTGGCTGTGACGGCCCTTTTTGGGTAAGTTACGCCCCAAGCAATATTGATGAAATGCGATAAAAAGCACTAATGTTTGCACTACACAGACAGTATCCGTCCTTTTGGCCCCATGGCCCCTTTTGGCTTTTAACGCCAATTTCTCCCAGCGTGGTTCGCGGTACAAAGGTGGGCCAAATCGATGGTTGCCTCTCCTTTTTTCGGAATTTTTAAAGATAGGGATAAAAATGTGGTGGATTTCTTTGAAGTCGCGATTTCCGTCGAAAATACTCTGGTGTTCTAACAATCCAGTCTCTGCATAATTTTGGAGGAAATACAAAGAAAAAATTCTCACTCTGGTTGGATTTGAACCAGCGACCTAGAGGTCCCCACGCTGCTCCACTACGATCTCGACTGTTGCTCACCCTGCCGGCGCCGCTGAACACGTCGGGCATGCCCTGCTCGCAGTTGATCTCGGTGACGTTGGCCGTGAGGTTGAAGACGAGCGAGGCCGCCGACGGCGTGCCGAGGACGGCGTCCACGTCGCCGGCCTCCAGCACGGCGCCCTCCATGGTCATGGTCATGGTCATGGCCATGGCTGCTGGGTGACGCTCAGCCGCCGTCGCCGGAGAGCAGCACTGAGGATGTCATCCTAGAGGTGGTGGTCGCCCTCAAGGCCGGCCCGGTCCTGGGGGCCTGGCCCGGCCTGGCCGTCGACCGCCGTCCCTGGGGGAGGCCGAGGCCCTCCGGGGCGTCGCCGCCGTGGCCACGGCACTGGGTTCACCGGCCCACCGACGCCAGGGGCGCTGCGACCGCCTGCCGCGCCTGCAACAGAAACACGCCGACGTCGCGGTGGTTACTATCGGCTCCAATTACTTTACGCGCGGCTGGCTAAGTTGGGTCAGCCGTGGGAGCAGTCGCGGCCGGCGGCAGATGCTGCTCCACTGCCTCACTCCGACGCACCGCGGCGCCAACCGGAGACCAGAATCAGGCGCGGATCGAGGAGAAGAGAGCGCCTGCGGAGAGCAGGGTAGGCAACCCTGCGCGTCCACGTGCAACGGGTTGCCTATCGTCCCTTCCGCGGGCGCTCCGGTCGGCACGTCAAGAGAGATTTCCTTTTGGCACTGCGATTTCTAGTGTGGTGGCAGTGAAGTGCGGTCGCTTCTCCTCACACACACTACTCCACTCGACGTGACTGCTCCACGGCGTCACAGCGTTCTCCAGCAACTAGCGCACATTCCGGGGGTCTCACAGTGGGCCAGAAGCCGGTGGAGGCGGCCAAAACTCTAGACGCGTTTTGAGCTCCAGAGTCGCTAAATGGGACTCTAACCGAACGTGTGAGCCCACCAATGGATTCCTCGTTCGGAGAGCAATCCATTGGTGGGGTCACACGTTCGGTTCGAGTCCCATTTAGCGACTCTGGAGCTCAAAACGCGTCTAGAGTTTTGGCGGCCTCCACCGGCTTCTGGCCCACTGTGGGTCTGCTGAGCCCCCACCCCCCACCCCCGCCGGAGTCTGGTGTCACTGTCGCGACAGGCAGATCAGTTTGACTGCAGACCGACTCCGAGAGTCGCTCTGTCTCACTCTCACACGCCCCGTGAGTGCGAGAGAGACAGAGCGCTTCTCGGAATCAGTCCGCCGCGTCGCTCCACCCCTTGTAGTGTAGAGAGCGCGCCTTTTCGTGGCCCGAGGCCCAATTAAAGCGAGTCGCCGTGCGGCGACGACTGAGGCGGCGGTCGCTCTGTCTCTCTCGCACTCACGGGGCGTTGCGTGCGCGAGAGAGACAGAGCGACGCAACGCTGTGCGGAATCAGTCTGCAGGCCTTGGTCCACGCGGCGACAAGCGGCTTTTCGGCCCTACCCCTTCGTCCAGCCCTTCCCCTCCCCCCCTCCCCTCCCCTCCCCTCCCCTCCGGCCGCGCGCAGCCGAAAGAAAGGGCGAGGCCCGGAGGAGGGCAAGAAGTTGGCCCAGTCCAAGGCGATGGCGAATAACATCTCGGCGCGTGAAATGTATAGAAGGCATGGCGGTAATTGGCTGAGGCTGTGGGCCGCTCGTTGCGAACAACGGCGCTCTCGTCGCTCTGTCTCTGTCGCACCCGCGCGGGCCGCCCCTTGAGTGCGAGAGAGACGGGTGCGGTTCGGAAGCGGCCCGCCGCGGGACCGAAAAATCGGCTTGCGCCGCGGCAGGGGTGTTTGTTAGCGCGGGCAGCCCGCGGTACTTCGGCCACCCCACTGCGAAGCAGGAGCGGAGGGGGGCACGCAGCTCGAGACGACGAGGTTCGGACTTTATACTGCGTAGGTTAAGTCAAACAAAAAAATCACTATGGGAAAAAAAGTTTCTGTTCTAATGACGTAATTGAATGCTCACACTCAATATCTCAGTATCTCAATAACAGGCACAAAGGTCGTCGATTTGAGAACTCCACCTTTTTTTTTCAGTGTAGCGCGCGTCCGACCGGAGGTTTCATCGTCCTGTCTGCGGAACGGGACGCCGCGTGAGTGCGAGAGAGACGGCGTGATTTGGCGACGCGGCGGCGACGCGATGACGGGGACTCCCCGGCACCACTTCCCACGCAATCTGCAGACCCTCGTCGCTCTGTCTCTCTCGCACTCACGGGGCGTTGCGCGTGGGTGCGAGAGAGACAGAGCGACGGTCTGGCAATCAGTCCGCTGGACGAGCAAGGTTACCAACCTGCGGCGCCGACGCGGCGACGCGGACCACGCGCGTCAAGGCTGGCCAACCGACCGCAAACAAACGTTTAGCGAGGCCGCGATTCCAGGAGGGATGCTTCGGATTGGATTAGCGGTGGGGTGGAAGGCGGCACGGGATAATGATGATTGGTTTGTTTTTGCAGTGTAGCGCTTGACCTGCGCGACCGCGCCAGAGCCAGACTCGTGCTTCTCTCTCGCTGGACGGGATTGTTCCCTCAGATCAATTAGCGCACAAGCACAAGTCCCCCTTCCACTGCCCCCTCCCCCTCGCCTCCGCGGCGCTCCGCGACTGTTTTTATCGGCCCCTCCAGCGAAGCCCGCTTGTTGCCCGTCGAGTGTCACACAGTCAATATTACGGAATCCGTGTCGGCTTTCTCACTTTCGTCGCTCTAACCCCTCTCCTCTCTCTCTCTCTCCCTCCCCGCGGTGTGACGTGGGCTGGGACCGTCCGGGAGGCGGGGGCGTGCGCTCTTGACTCTGGCTGCGGAGCACTGCGGCGCCCCCTCACAAATGTAGAGGACTAAATTTGTACAGCCGGAGTGTCAAACAGACCCCTCCGAGAGAACGAACCCCCGCACCGCCACACTTACGGGCGCAAACACGGAGCCCAGCGCGGTGCAGGGCGCAGTGTGCCAGAGGACTGGAGGAAGCGGCCGAAATCCTGGACGCGTTTTGAGCTCCATGAAGGTGTCTGGAGGACGGCCATCCAACTAACTAGTTGTCGCTGGGCGGGGCGGGGCGGGCCGCTTTGTCCGAGGCCTTCCGAACGGACGGAGCCCCGAAATGACGGCATCCTTTGAGGACATGCCGAAGGGTTTCCGAAGGGCCGCCGAAGGGCCGGCGAGGCTCGACGACTCTCCGGCCGCACTCACCGCCTTCTATCCCTTTCCCAATTAGAAGGCGAAGGGCGAGTCCGAGTGGAGCGCCGGCCAGGCCGGCCAGGCCAGTCAGTCCGGCGGGCCGATGCCGACGAGTCGTCGGGTCGCTCCGTCTCTCTCGCACTCACGGGGCGCGCCGTAGGGGTGCGAGGGAGACAGAGGGAAGTCCTCGGCCCAGGGCGCTAAGTCCCATCCAATTACTGGGCTGTCCTCTCGCGGCCCCGCGCCGGCCCCACGGCGGCCCGGTGCCTTTTCACCCAAAACGGGATGGACACCGAAATTACGCGACAACACCCAAAGGAAGGGAAGGGCTCGCAGCGTCTAATGGCCGCGCTGGACAAAGGCGGGGGGTACACCATTCAGGGGGACGGCCTCGCCAGGACTCCACGGGCCTCGATCGCAGCACTATGCAGTGCAGGAGCCTGCTGCGTCGCCAGCGAACGCCAGCCTGTGCAGCAAGCGTCTCAAGTTCACTTCGAAGAGAAATTCGGGAAAACGATGGAAGAACCACGCATCATAAATAGAAGTCTTCCGAAACGTGTTCAGTGAACAGGCTAGGCTGAAAAACGCGCACGAATAGGTCAAATACGCGCGCTCCAAACTTCAAAAAGATTCCTAGACGCTTCAGCTTAGAGCGCTCTCTCTCTTTCCCGTCACCCCGCCGCTCCGTCGCCGCTCCAGTGCCTTTATGCACTACCGCTGTTCTGCGCTATTTGTCCACAAAAGACGACCGCTTGTCTCTCTCTCTCTTTTTTTCCTTCGGACTATTCACACAACTTTCGCCCCCCCCCCATTTCGCTTCGACGCCTTCGAGGCCTTCGAGGCGGCACCCTCTGCATGTTTACTTGAAAGGCGGGCCACATCGCATCCCTCGGGGTCAATTCACACCCACCCCTTCCTCTCTCTCTCTCTCTCTCTCTCTCTCTCTCTCTCTCTCACACACACACACACACACATGCTCTCTCCTTTGCTTACCCACTCACACATCACCCAGCACGGAGCGAGTGTGGCGTCGTCCTTGCCTCCGAGCAAGCCGCCGAGACTTTGGCAGATTTCAGAAACTTTTTACATCTTTTTCTGGGTTGTGTCAATTTTAGTTTCGACTACTTTTTGTCACTGTTTTTTTTTTTTTGCTCTCGTTCACTTGATGTTTGGGGCGACGCGAGCAATTTGTCTTCATCATCAAAGCTGTGGTGTCCTCGCTGTGTGTTGGTCGTCGGCGCGCGGCCGCCGCGGAGCGGGCGGAGAGGCTCGCCGACGACGCGATGACGTAATGACGCGTCTTCCCCGGCGGCGTGGCGGTGTTGTTCGGCACCGTGCCGGTGTACACACTACACTGCAGGCTAATTTCCGTGTGGACGCGCCGCGCCACAGCCTCGCCGGCCACACCGGTGCACCTCCCACGGACGTCCCTTACGACGTGCGTTGTTTTGTTATTGCTTGTTTTTGTGTGTTGTTTTTTTTTTTTTTCGGAGAGCACATACTGGAGCTCAAAGAGTGACACCGTTTGCTGGCCAATTTCTTTTGTCAGTACAAAATGTATCACCGAAAAAAAAGGTGACCTTTTTTCATCAAGGCAGTTGTCTCTTATCACCCCTTAAAATGTCGCGTGGTGCACTAAACCCCACCTAACCAGTTGGAATCCTCCTGATCCAACATTTGGGTTTCTTTTTTTTTTGGTACGGCGTGTGGGCAGGCACCTCACCTGCGCGAGGCGAACCTCTCGAACGAACCGCCCCCGAGGGGCTCAACTCATCAAGACTCACGGTGTATCGATTCGGACGGATTCTGGGCAGGGAATCTGGCCGCCACGCCACGCCACCACTAACAGGGACTACGCTGCATCGCGTAAATAGAAATACAGACACGTGTGTAATTTTAGCCGCCGTGATCAAATATATACCCACACCTAGCGACGCCCCGCCGCCTCACAGAGCGTCGGAGCGAGCAGCCTGAGTCGCGGGGCGGCCCGACCCGCGCGTTCCCCTCGAGACGGGCATCGCGTTTCGGGTTTTAGCAGCTCGGGGGACGCGTCAACAAGTAAACTCATTTTTGAGGGCGTTATCCGACGAGGTGTCGATACGCAAATAAATGGGAAATGGGAGGTGCCACGGCGGCCTTGGGGATGCCGTCAAGGCCACGCCGCCCCGCGCCCCGCGCCCTCGAGCAGTAACTGCACTCTAAAATGTTCTACAGTGAAGATTCTCCATATTATGGTGAAAATGTTCCATATTATG